AGAGAGAGAGAGAGAGAGATGGTGAGAGAAGAAAGTGGTGTGGAACAGAAGAGATAATCCAAGCACGTGTAAATATAACCAATTAACAGTTTAGTAATTCATTTAACCTAACCTAACCTAACCACCGCCTCTATCATGTCTACAAAGGTGTATTAACATGATAGTGAGTCTCGTTCATGTTATATAGTTGTTGTTATTATTAGTTTTGTTGTTGTTGTAATTGTTGCTGTTATTGTTGTTGTTATTGTTATTATTGTCATTTTTGTTGTTGTCGTTTTTGTTATTGTTGTCGTTATTGTTATTGTTGTTGTTATTGTTGTTGTTATTGTTATTTTTGTTGTTGTTAATGTTATTTTTGTTGTTGTTATTGTTATTATTGTTGTTGACTCTGTGGTTTACCCCGAGTGTGGTAATGAGTTCTGGAGACGTCATGTGTTGGTTATAATTTAAGATGAACTGTAGTGAAGGCATTCTCACATCGTCCGAAAGTGTTTGAGAATCCGGCACAGCTGATTAGTTGTTGAAAGGTAAACAGACCAGTGATCGATGGCACACTCAAGCCCTTACAAACACCAATTATTTGTAAATGTTAAACCAAACACGTATGGAAGCAGTTAATGAGGACACCACCTGAATACCCTTCATTTCCTTTTCTAATAATGTTCTCATACTAATGTTGACATACTAGCAAATAATACACAAGAACAAGTGCAGAAAGTATACCACCTTGGCCTTAAACAGTTGCCAGTTAATTATTTATCTACCTAACAACACGCCATCTATTGATCAAAATCCCAATTACGCGATGATATTTTGCCTCTTCTGGGTTTGGCTCCCACGCAAATAAATCGTGACTAACTTCTCTTAAAGTCTTGATATCGACTTCAATTTGCCACCGTTGCAAGTTTCTCTCCCTGGTGGAGGAGGAGGGGGGGGGTAGGATGGAGGCAGTGGAACGTGAGCTGCAAATGTGAGAGGCGGAGAGAGAGAGAGAGAGAGAGAGAGAGAGAGAGAGAGAGAGAGAGAGAGAGAGAGAGGATTTTTTTTCCTTGCTGAAGGGAGGGTCGTGGTACAGTGACAAGAACAGTACATAAGATACGAAAGTAAGGAGAGGAGGAGGAGCAGGAGAAGGTTGGAGAGAAACGGGGTGATAACTGAGGAAAGACGAAGAGGGAGAATGACAAATTGGGGAAAAAGAAGAGAGATAAGGTTCCCAAGATGAGGGACACCCGCTATAGTAAGACATATAATCCTGTCTGACCTATACTGTGAACTCACCTGACCCTCTCAAATGACCTGACCCTCTCAAATGACCTGATCCTCTCTAATCACCTAACCCTCTCAAATGACCTGATCCTCTCAAATGACCTGACCCTCTCAAATGACCTGACCCTCTCTAATCACCTAACCCTCTCAAATGACCTGATCCTCTCTAATCACCTAATCCTCTCTAATCACCTAACCCTCTCAAATGACCTGATCCTCTCAAATGACCTGACCCTCTCAAATGACCTGACCCTCTCAAATGACCTGACCCTCTCAAATGACCTGATCCTCTCTAATCACCTAACCCTCTCTAATCACCTAACCCTCTCAAATGACCTGATCCTCTCAAATGACCTGACCCTCTCAAATGACCAGACCCTCTCTAATCACCTAACCCTCTCAAATGACCTGATCCTCTCTAATCACCTAACCCTCTCTAATCACCTAACCCTCTCAAATGACCTGATCCTCTCAAATGACCTGACCCTCTCAAATGACCTGACCCTCTCTAATCACCTGACCCTCTCTAATCACCTGATCCTCTCTAATCACCTGACTCTCTAATCACCTGACCCTCTCAAATGACCTGATCCTCTCTGACCTGACCCTCTCAAATGACCTGACCCTCTCCATGACTCTGACCCTCTCTAATCACCTGACTCTCTCTAAACCTGACCTCTCTAATCACCTGACCCTCTAATCACCTGACCCTCTCAAATGACCTGATCCTCTCTAATCACCTGACTCCTCTAATCACCTGACCCTCTCTAATCACCTGACCCTCTCTAATCACCTGACCCTCTCAAATGACCTGATCCTCTCTAATCACCTGACTCTCTCTAATCACCTGACCCTCTCTAATCACCTGACCCTCTCTAATCACCTGACCCTCTCTAATCACCTGACCCTCTCTAATCACCTGACCCTCTTTAATCACCTGACTCTCTAATGACCTGACCCTCTAATGACCTGACCTCTCTAATGACCTGACCTCTCTAATGACCTGATCCTCTCAAATGACCTGACCCTCTCTAATCACCTGACTCTCTCTAATCACCTGATCCTCTCTAATCACCTGACCCTCTCTAATCACCTGACCCTCTCTAATCACCTGACTCTCTCTAATCACCTGACCCTCTCTAATCACCTGACCCTCTCTAATCACCTGACCCTCTCTAATATCACCAGAGCGCCACAGTAAAATCCCACTAAGGACATCGTGTCGTGTCGTTTCTTTTTTTCACATTAATTCCCTAAAAAAAAAATGTGTTTCCCGGATCAGCTTTGACGATAATGGGGTCAATAAATAATGTTTTCTTGTCGGGGTTACGGTTTGTTTGTTTCAAGTATTGTGATGTTTGGAACTGAATGTTCGTCTTGCTGTTACTTAATCGGAAAAAAAAACACAAATAACATGCTTACAATTGTCGTCACACACATGATAAGTTTATGCTGTCGTGTGTGTGTGGGGGGGGGGGGGGGGGGGTACAATTGTCTCCAGTCCTGCATTAAACAGGGTGGGTCCAAGGATAAACCCATGTGGTACTACACTCAGAGCCTGTTATTTCACCCTGAAGGACCTCCAGTTATGACTACCTATTAGTTACCATACATTTACGAAGTGGTTAAGAGTTGATTAACTTTACTATAGCGGTACGTTGTGATAAGAATAAAACAGTAAAAAAATATACATAGCGTTATCTTCTGGTGTAATGGCGAACAAACACAGACTCGCCTTTCACTCGAGTTATTCCTCCACTCTTACCGCTACAAGTGTGTCCTGCTACCGTGTTCCCCTTCGTCAACAACACCTGACTTACCTGTTGCTTTCTACATGACATCGTAAATAAGTTAATTAAGAAGTAATGAAGAATGGAGGGAAAACACCTCTTATTTATATTCTTCTTCCTTCTTCGTTATACAATATCGTAGTAATAAATGAAACAAAGAAGGAAAGGGACAAGACATTTGTGTCCTTAGTTTTCTTTCTTTCTGTTTAACATTATTCCATGTCCACCTCTTCTATGCCGACACAAGTTATCGCCATATCATAACGGCATGAAGACCCGGCGACCAACAAAGGGACGGATCCTCCCAAGTTTCCTAATTCAATTTCCTCCACCTAACAGGAAGGGTGACAAGACGCATCAAGTTACGTTTGAGTGTCACCCGATGCTGTTCCGATGCTCTATTTTGGCCGCCAGTCTCGCACGTCCTGACTCAAGTGGACCAGACTGACGCCTCCTCACATCTCCAGTTGCGAGGAAATTCAATATACGGTCCTTTGAGTCATCGATGTTTGTCCTGTAAACTAAGTGAACCAGTCTAAAACGTTCTCGCGTCTCCAGTTACGTGTGAAATCAAAATACGGGAACTTTGGGTAGCCATTCTCGTATCAGTACTTGTACGTATTTTCTTATCTTTTACTAGATAAATTTTTACTCTAAGGAGCTTCAATAATTCGTCTTTATGATGTAACTTTAACTGAGGAAATTACTTGCACCCTCACACCTTCAATTAAGGAGGAATTTAACGTCATAACGTCTTAAGAATCATGTTGTGTACAGTAGCGCCAGCACCACACGCCTTGGTCCTGGCAGTGCCCCCCCCCCTCCCATCACCACTCACATTTAGTCACCCGTTACGTCACTTAAATTTTTGTTGTGTGTTCCAATACCTGTCTGAATATTTTGTTTAGTTCTATTGTAAATATACTAATGCCCAGGCTCAAGTTTTTTTTTAACTTAATATTTAATGCGTATATACAGTACAGTGTAATAGCTGCGGACCACAAAAAAACGGACACTAGATGGTTTCGCAACCTCTCGTGTTTCTCTCTGCCAAAAAATAACTCAATTTGATCTTAACTCATTTTGTATGTCATCAAAAAAACTTAAATGGGGATCAGGGCACGTATGTAATTTATTGGACGTACAGATTCAACAAGCTCTGAAGCCAGTCTTGCCAGCCACCACCAGGATGTTTGGCCTCCGTGAGCGAACAGTTGCGTCACTGATCGCAGCTAACACCATTTCCGAATCTAGGAAAATAAGTCATGGATGTTCAGTTTATAACCGTTTTAAAATATTTTTTGTTTTATTACCTTAATTGTTTACGGCATTTAAATAAAATGATTTTTTTCCTGTGATTTTTTTTCCGTCCACCACATTTCCTGGGCGCGAGTAGACCTTTTATCTTCACACCTTTAAGGTAGCAATTTTGAAGGTAAGTACTGAATGGTTACAACTTTAATTTTGTAACACTAATAGGTATTCTGAAATGGACTGTACTGTATAACATGGTGTGGTGTAAGTTGAATGGTGTTATGTACCGAGTTGCGAAGACAACTTAAAGATGTGTTTAAATGTCAAAGAAACCAAGTCGTGTGGGGGAGTTCTATAAATCTACAAACTTCTAGATAACGATACCCGGGAACCCTCTCAGTGGCTCCCGGGGTGGGGTGTTCAGCATTAAGTTGCCAACAGAACAAAAAGCAACCCTTGAAAAACTTGTTATCAGCGGTATATGGTCGTAGAATATTCTTGTGTGTAAGACTAACTACATACAAAATATGGCAGCTATCCCACACAAACAAAATCGAACGTAATAGCCGTGGAAACAAGACTACATTAAACGTTTTAGATTCTCAGCTCCGACGTATTTGGTATACAGTATACTTTATCGCACACATCCAATCTTGATGACGTCCATTACTATGTTATCTTTTTAGAGTCCAATGATCCAATCAGTCTTACCCTGGCACTCGTTCTGTAAGGTCGTGATAACCGTGAATCATACCATACAGTGTTACTTGGAAATTTTTTGCCATGGATATCATCAAGCCCCTCTTCGTCCTGTTGTTCTACATCAGCTGTAAGTTGAACCATGAGCATTGTTTAACTATCGCGTGTTTATATACGAAGCGTGTTTCAGTCAGGGTTTAATAAATAATATTTGTGTCAGCGAGAAACATATATTATAAAGTCCTCCTTTAGAAACTACTAGACTCCAGTCTCTGATCAGCACGAATATGAGGTGGTAACGCTATGTAACAAATACTGTGACGGTGGTAACATAACGTGACGAAATACATTAACGAACCCCACATAACATTGCATCACCTTTATTGGGGGAATAACATATACCAAAATGTTTCACGATAGTAGAGTCGAAGTTAGTGAACAGTGCAGTAATATTCTGAATACTTATCCAGGTACAGTGTATCATGACAGAGCTAATTACTACCTTGATCTGATACCAACGAACAGACAAATGATGAACGCTGTCAGTTACATAAACATTAAGGTAGGACAGTAACCACAAAATTTAGCCGGAAACACACCACTAACACCATTATAACTCTACACCCTGCACGAGCACTGATTTTCCTCCGATGACGCAACTCTTCCCAGGTGCCGTCATACCTTACCTCACACCGCTTTCATTTCATTCTACAACAGCTCTCATATATCCCAAGTGTACAAACGTGTAACTTGTAATATGAAGAAGATATTCTGAGTTTTTTTTAGTGTCATCATTATCAGCTCATTCTAAATAGCGTAACACACTTTAAGAAACGTTTTGTCCACCACCCGCCGCTCGCTCCCTGCAGGTTGGGTCGTGTTATCGGTACAGTATACGTTCATTGGTCAGTGTCATCAGGTACAGTAATCATAAAAAACTCACCTCGTATAGTGATAGCTTTGATGTAATAAAAACCAATTCGAGTCAAATAAGAACATAAGAAAGGAGCAAACTGCAGCGGGCCTATTGGCCCATACTGGGCAGTCCCATTTACACCCAACCCCTATTGCTCATATATTCATCCAACCTATGTTTAAAGTTATCCAGCGTATTCGAGTTAATGATGATGTTTGGGAACTTGTTCCACTAGTCCACTACTCTATTTCCAAACCATTGTTTACCTATCTCGTGCCTAAATCTAAATTTGTCTTATTTAAAACAATTGTTACAAGTTCGCTCCTGGTTGGATAGTTTGAGTACCTTTGTTATGTCACCTTTGTTTAGCCCTGACTTCCATTTATGCACCCCTATCATATCGCCCCTCGCTCTACGTCTCTCGAGGGAGTGCAAATTAAGATGTTTTAACCTGTCTCTGTACTCAAGGCTCCTAATGCCCGATTAGTCTTGTCATCCTTCTCTGAATTTTTTAAAGGATTCTATATCCATTCTGTAAATATAAAATTAAGCTGACAGTTACTGCCAGAAGACATCAGCGATTATTACTAATAAGGTATAAGATGACTAATAACATGCAAACTTGTAGTTATCAGAAACGTACCTAAAGATCATTCGCGACAAGTGCCAACCTAAGCCAGGTGAAGCCTTTTTCAAAGTTCCTTGGGACATCAGCTATCCACCATCACTAAGTGTATGTTGTTACCCAAATCCTTTACCTGGTTACAAATCTACTCAATGACAAAATTATCCCATTTGTACAACATGCCATTACTCAAATTCATGTTAACATATTCAGAGTGGTTAATGAGACTAGATTCTGTAATGTTCCTACTGATAATTGAATTACAAGGCAAGATTGAGGAGGTATTAGTCCAGTCAATACCTGTACAATGATTACAATTATCTCATATATTTATGCTGTTTAGATCTAGTGATACCATCCTTGCCCGTTTGCCCGAAGTAGAACCTATTACATTATTAACGTAGAACATTGTACAACCACCTGCATTGTTTGGAGAATTCTTAATTACCATTTTATTCACAGAACAAGAACGATTAAAAGTTATATTTACGTTCCAGGTTTTAGGCTGATGAGGAACTTGAGAAAAAATTTCGTTAAATGGCAAAAGTAAGAGATTCTTAGTGTCAAGGGGAGGTGTAGGATCAGTTCTATAATAGGATTAGTGTCATGGGGAGGTGTAGGATCAGTTCTATAATAGGATTATGTCAAGGGGAGGTGTAGGATCAGTTCTATAATAGGATTAGTGTCAGGGGAGGTGTAGGATCAGTTCTATAATAATCAGGATTAGTGTCATGGGGAGGTGTAGGATCAGTTCTATAATAGGATTAGTGTCAAGGGGAGGTGTAGGATCAGTTCTATAATAGGATTAGTGTCATGGGGAGGTGTAGGATCAGTTCTATAATAGGATTAGTGTCATGGGGAGGTGTAGGATCAGTTCTATAATAGGATTAATGTCATGGGGAGGTGTAGGATCAGTTCTATAATAGGATTAGTGTCAAGGGGAGGTGTAGGATCAGTTCTATAATAGGATTAATGTCAAGGGGAGGTGTAGGATCAGTTCTATAATAGGATTAGTGTCAGGGGAGGTGTAGGATCAGTTCTATAATAGGATTAGTGTCAAGGGGAGGTGTAGGATCAGTTCTATAATAGGATTAATGTCAAGGGGAGGTGTAGGATCACTTCTATAATAGGATTAGTGTCAAGGGGAGGTGTAGGATCAGTTCTATAATAGGATTAGTGTCAAGGGGAGGTGTAGGATCAGTTCTATAATAGGATTAGTGTCAAGGGGAGGTGTAGGATCAGTTCTATAATAGGATTAGTGTCATGGGGAGGTGTAGGATCAGTTCTATAATAGGATTAGTGTCATGAGGAGGTGTAGGATCAGTTCTATAATAGGATTAGTGTCAGGATTAGGATCAGTTCTATAATAGGATTATGTCATGGGAGGTGTAGGATCAGTTCTATAATAGGATTAGTGTCAAGGGGAGGTGTAGGATCAGTTCTATAATAGGATTAATGTCAAGGGGAGGTGTAGGATCACTTCTATAATAGGATTAGTGTCATGAGGAGGTGTAGGATCAGTTCTATAATAGGATTAGGGTCATGGGGAGGTGTAGGATCAGTGCTATAATAGGATTAGTGTCATGGGGAAGAGTAGGATCAGTTCTATAATAGGATTTCTTAGTCACGTTAAGATATTTCCCTATAAAAGACATATAAGGTACTTTAAGTTCAATCCAATATTATTGATATACTGAAATTCCTCACCTACTACAGGGATCGATTCGTCTTGAGAGCATTAGTTGGTCAAAACGTTTAGTGAACAAGAAAAAAAACCAAAGCCTATAAACCACTTTGGTGACTAAAAGAGAAATCTAATAAATACGTTTTGTGAAGGACGACACGGTGCCGCGGCCACAGAGACACGGCATCTCAGGAGTTCATTAAGTACAGTAGGCTTGACAACTGATGCCCAGAGAAGCCTGTACGATATAACGTACAATGTTGAACCACCATAGCTACACATTTTCTTTCCCTCACATATTGAATGTTTCGTTAAATTGTTCTCGATCGGTGACAGAGTTCTGTATAGAGCTGGTGACGCAGCTAAAACTCGAAGATGTTTCCCATCGTTAACTAAATATCATAATAATAATAATAAAAAAATCCTGAATACTGTCAACACACAGAGGAGTGCCAGCCTCTTAAAGATTAAGATAATAACCAATATGTGGTTAATAAAAAAGTAATGACAGGAGCAGAGTTAAAGTATCGTACAATTAAAGTGCAGTCATGAGAGGTGGGTTATAACCGACCCACATCACTACTTAACCGACAGGAGGAAAATTGAACAATGCTTTACACCCAAGGTAAAAATGGGGAACAATTACCTAACTCATTTATAAATATGAGTCATACAATTTCACAATAGGTCTACGTTTTGCTGTTATGTAGCCACAATACATCGGGGGGTGAGGGTTAGGATATATGTACTCCCCTGGCACGAGTAATCACCAGTAAATGGACTCGCCAGCCAGCTTCGGTAACGTCACCGGGTGTCACCGAGAAATGTTCTCGGCTAAACTTCTAAGTAACGTTTAGGCTTCATTAACTATCGAGAATATATTTAATGAATCCTTATCTAATATATATTCATCGATTTGTTTTATTTGGTTTAAGGGACGTGGTTGGCCTTGTTTCATTGGTTCTCGAGAAACAAATTTCTGTCAATTCCACCAACATTATCTCTTGTCTTATCAGGCAGGTAAAGTCTACTCCCACTTGTCATCAGTTGAGGCATCAGTACTGGCCCATGTTTGACGCAGTAATATAAACTAGTTGTAGACACTAGCGTAGCTAGGGGGGGGGCGAGGGGGGGCGGTCCGCCCCGGGCGGCACTTTTGGGTGAAGGATCACGAGATGCTGAATTGCCATACGACATTGAATTGAGGAGAGAAATGTTTTCTTCGCTGGACAGAGTGATCCAAGAAATAACTTTGAGATTTCAACAGCTTCATGAACTTGCTGAGAAATATGCCTTCCTTACCCCATTGAATCTTTTGGATGATAAATATGAGTGTCAAATAGATCACGATCACGACGACATTGATAAAGAGGAGTTCCTCGTTGAGAGAAAAAGACTTCAACATTTTGTTGCTGTTGCTGCTATAACTATTAAAGACAGAATACAGACGTGGAAAGAAGGCCCCCTTGAACTTTTGCAGTTTATTCAAAAGTATAACCTTGGGAACTCGGTTCCAAATATAGTAATAATGCTGAGGATTTTCCTCACAATTGCTGTTAGTGTTGCTACCTGTGAGAGGAGTTTTTCGAAACTAAAACTGATCAAGAATTACTTAAGATCTACTATGAGCACCTTGCGGTTGAGAAATCTTGTCATACTGTCTATAGAGCGACAATTGACAGATGAAATAGTTTTTGACAATGTCATTGAAGAATTTGCCAACAAAAAAACAAGAAAAGTTACTTTGTAGAAAGTTGTAGTTTTCATTTCAGAAATAAAGATGGTCCTAATTTTTTACACTTTTTTACTTTTTTCCCTATCCTATATGTCGTTTTTGCTTTTTGTTTAACTGTTACTTATAAAGTTTAAGTATGTTTGGGGTGTATTTAAAGCATACTATATTTGAGTATGTGAAAGTACAGTAATATTATAATGGTACACAAACTATTTAATATATATATATATATATATATATATATATATATATATATATATATATATATATATATATATATATATATATATATATATATAAGAGTGAGTCACTGTGCAATATGTATTTTTTGTGGGGGCACGGGGGGGGGGGGGGCAGACTCAAGGGCCGCCCCGGACGGCACACACTCTAGCTACGCCACTGGTTGTAGATATTGTAGCATCCAGCTCAATTCATAGGGTTAGTGAAGTGTGATAAATCTCTAGTGGTAATTCTGCAATTATTAAAGTGGGACAAGTGAAATCCACAAAGTACCGTCTCGTGGCTTTTGTTCAGTGTACAAAATCTGTGTATCATCATTCAATTGAGGTATAAAATTTAACTATTCCCAAAGCCGTGCGGGCCGCCCCCATCTCAGGGCCGAGAACACACTTGACGGGACCTGGAAGCCAAGACGGGTGTGTGAACCTGGCGGCCCCCAAAATATTGATGTGTTTGGAGATGGAAGACGCCAAGGACCTCTCCTTTTATAACCTCACCTGCCACTTCGGCCCCAACTCCCAGCTGGTCTACAACTGCTCCTCTGACACCAATTGTGAAGGTTAGTCGCGCCACTGTCACTGTCGTCACCTAATTCATGTTCTCACTTCACTTTCATGTTCTCACCTTGCACTCATGTCCTCAACTCAGCTCACACTCATGTCGTTGCCTATCACTCATGTGCTCACCTCATACGACTTTCATTTGACATCCATACTGCACATTTCTCATATGGAGTGCAGTACCGGTAACCAAATTTGCAGTAATTTCCAATCAATACATTTCAGTAAATTTCACTCAGACCTTTTAAATACAAATGTTATAGAATAAGAACAAACTTATTAATCACGAAGAGAATTAAACTCCTGTAACATATGTAGCCGATAGTTACAGGAAAATAGAGGTCAGCCAACAGTTTATGTCGAAGGTTTTACTTGTGATAGTTAATGGTACACATTATTATGGCTAGTAAATAACTTTATCATAACCGAGTGACTGATTATATTGATGCTAATTATTATTATCCTAACCGGGTTGGGGATAATAATGAAGCTAATTATCATCATCATAATTACCATCATCATTACCGGGAGACATAATTTTTCAGTAATATTAGTAGTTGAACAAGGTGTAAGGCATAACAAGTACATGCTCCCGACCAGCTTCTGTCAGTCCACTACATTCTGCCTAGTAAAAAAAAAATGCATTAAACACTTATTGTGCCAAGTTTAATAAATAAATCTATGGTTTCTACGTAACGTCATGACATTGAAACAGACGAGCAGCCATATGAACACTACCTACAGTCAGATTTCATGGACAAGAGGGCGAAATATCTACTGTACAATATCACCTACAGTATGTATCGTTAATGGTGCTATTATTATTAATCATTTTATGCCTGGCGTGCTACAGGTCAGGGTGTGCTGAAGGGAGCCACCTACCCTCCAGAAGTTAACCCCAACTGCCATGGGCTTCCCTTCACCAACATCAACGGAGACCACATGGGGACCTACATCTGCCGCATCAGTACTGACCGTCAAAGCTACTTAGTCACACATAACCTCCAACCATGTCCAGGTGAGTCTATATGGGTGTTATACATGTGATGTGTTATTCCGCATGTCGGTTACTGTACGCACGTATACATGGCTTAATATACATATACAGTGGAGTTCAAAAAGACCTGTAATCATACACACCAATAAACACACATAGATACACACTGACACACTCGCATCATCCCTACATGTGTCCACACTGACATAATTACAGTTCAACTAAAACGCACAATAATTCAACCAATACACAGGGTGCATTGTTATGGAGTTTGGCTGGCAAGATCTTAAAGTTCTCTGAGAGCACTACAGCACATCTTAAGTCTCCCTGTACACCGCACACAGGATAGCTCATATGATCAATCAATGTAGACTTATACGACAGTTTTACGGAATACTTATTTATCTAATACAAAATTTAAACGTCGCCAAATGAGAAATGAGAACATGCAACCATTTTTTTAGTTACAATAAATATTAAACTTAATATAAATAAATAAAATAGCGGATTTGGATTTTAACAGGACTATACTGAGTGTGTGAGAGAGGCTAGGCATTAGAGCAGTGCGCCATGGTCACAAGGCAATATGATGTATTTATTCATGCCTGTTGAACACGTCCAATACGCTCACAAATCATCACTGGCCAGTCAATGTTTATGATGACAGGGAACCTTGTACAGTATTTACATTTTTATTTACTGTATGCTCCACGACGTCAGCACCAGATTTCACTAACATTTTATTTTTCAGTTATAACGGGTATAAATATTAATTATTGCTAATCAAGTGTTAACGTATTTAGTGATCAATTATCGTTATTATTTCTAAATATTGTCAAATATTATTATTAATACTGCACTGGGTATCACAATTATTATCTTCTTCAGGCTCACACAAGGAGGAGGACAGTACACCAACACCCACCACCGATCAGCCTCAACCAGGTTAGTCCCTACCGCTGCCTTCCTCATTCTTTCTTTCCTTCTACCCTTCCTTTCTTTTATGTCAATCTGTCTCACTTCATTTCTTGTCTTACCTTTCCTGTTCCCCGGACCTGTCTCCCTTGCTTCCCTTCCTCCGGCCCACTTTCAATCTGTTCTATATTCATTATCTCTATCCAGTGACGTCGCTAAGTATTGACTCGGGGAGGAGGGGGGGGTAAGCACACAATAACTTAACTGAACCCACAGAATTTAGCAGTGTAACTGCTCCACGGGCTTAATTTTCAGGATTCTGGCCGAATTTCTGTTTCTTTTTCGAGGCATATTTTAGTTATGTACCCATACCCTGCACGGCTGTACCCACAAGCAGGATGCCCCCTAACATGCTCCACGACGTCACTGTCTCCACCCTGCTTCCCTCTTTCCCACCGTATCTCCTATACCAAACAATGCATAATAAACATGTATTTTACAATAAATCAGGTAAAGGATTTTAAACCCGTGTTTGATATATATATATATATATATATATATATATATATATATATATATATATATATATATATATATATATATATATATATATATATATATATATATATATATATATATATATATATATATATATATATATATATATATATATATATATATATATATATATATATATATATATATATATATATATATATATATGCTGATAACCACGAGTATTAATATGAATCGGTTAACCAAAAGTATTCTTGTATTATTCTTTGATTTTCAGCTGTTGAAGACCACTATTTTTCTTATTTTTTGGTTCATGTGTCATTTTGCTATTCGAATCTTACAGTGACCCTCTACAAGGCTTTCTTTCTGGTGTCTTTACAGGTGTGGTGAGGCTGTCTATTATTATAGTATCAGCGGTGGTGATAGCGTTGCTGATATTCTACTTCTGCCACCGACAATCCTCATCGGCTAATATTTAATGACAATATAATTGACTGTTTGAGGTTGATATTGATGGTACTGACAACACAAAATATTGATGCAATCTGGATTGAAGAGTTTCCAAAAATTTCTTATACTGTCTGACCGTGTGAGGCTAATACTGTCAACATTGGTCTAGTATAGCAACGGGCATCATGACATGTACTGTGGTGTAATGGCCAGTATGCTCACCTCCCTAGGGGGGTGGACTCGGGTTCGATCCCCGGGCAGAGTGAAACTATGGGCAAGTTTCATTACTCCATTTGTCTCTGTCTACCAAGCAGTAATTGGGTAGCTGCCGCCTCAGTGTGGGCGAGGGGACCACCGTCCAGGAGATCTACTTCGTGCATACAGCCAAGGCCCTCTACCTGTCATTGGAGGCTTGCAAGTGCCTCAACTTGGTGCCTGTCGACTTTCTGCTCCATAGGCGTGCTGTGGCTGCCGTGGGCGGAGAGGGCAGCACACTGCCGACGACCTACCTCCAAACCCTGGACTTGAGAGCAGTCGTGTCCCTCCTAGGCCAGTTGAGATGCCCTTGCCTACTTTGGAGGAGAATGTGGCCAGGATGGAAGCATGGCTGCTCACACACTTTTCATCCACCGCATTCAACACCAGCAGGTCCCCACTGCCAGTCATGACTGGTCCCCCTCACCGTATCCACCTGACGCCCGGCATGACCCCCTACGCCTGCCACACACCTGCTCCCATTCCGAAACACTGGGATGCGGAGGTGAAGGCCCAGTTGGAGGAGGACGTCAGGAGAGGCGTCATCCAGCCAGTGCCTGCTGGTGAGGCTACGGAGTGGTGCGCCAGGATGGTCGTGGTGGTCAAGAAAAACGGTCAGCCCGGCGCACTGTAGACTTCCAACGCCTCAATGCAAGCTGTAGTGAAAATTCCTTAAAAAAAAAAAATAATAATAATAACACTGGTTAGAAGCGTTTTCTGCCAAATGGATCGTGTGGAAATTTCAAATGCACTCAGCAAGGAGTGTGTCTTCAAGGGAGCCACGAATTACCCAAAAGTACCCAAAAGTATAGCAAATAAGGGTAAAATCTTAACGAATATCTGTTATACATACACAAAACATGTTTAATAATATTTTTAGTGTAATTTTGTAAAAATAATTTGTAAGATGAAATAATAAACAGCGAAAAACTTTCAGTATTGGCGAACGCTAAATTCCAAAGAGTTCGTGAACAAGAGAGATAACTCAGATCCATCGTGATGCACTTCGCTAACTTAACCTAACCTAACCTAACGAAAAGTAAACCCTACGGCTATGCTAAATACCCCAAAGTAACAGAAACATCGGTAATTATATTGTCATGGGTTGCGTTAGGCTTACCCACGCAACCAACTCCAAAGTTTGTTTTACCAGAGATAAGACGCCCGGCGAGGCATAACCGGGACATGTATTTTTCAATTAGTGTATGTTAGCCAGCCTTTAGGGGGGTGGGCAGTGAAACAGTGTTGTACTGTTCATCGCTTCACACCCAAAAACCTCATTTTGAGTAGTATCCCCTGAGCCATGGGTTAGTTAAGACGTCGTCTCCATCCTCTCCCACCTGAAAGGGGGCGGGACACCACACCACACAGTCTACTTGCCGCGACAACCGTCCTGTGAACCGTCGTCGACACGAGACTAAGCGTGTTCACCTAGGTTGTTATCCCCGTGGAAATATCACGTGTGGATGCCTGGTTGCGACAAGAGCAATCCAGGCTGGCCTATCAAACCTACAGTAACTGGTCAATTAATTCACGCTTACAGAGTTCTCCTGCACGACACCCGTCTACCGTGACCGTGATCGACACGAGACTAAGTGTGTTAACCTAGGTTTGTTATCCCCGTGGAAATATCACGTGTGGAAGCCTGGTTGCGACAAAAGCAATCCAGGCTGGTCTATTGCACCTAATGGTTAATTCAAGTCATGCTTACCAGTTCTACTTGCCGCGACAACCGTCCAGTGACTGTCAGTGACGCGAGACTATGTGTGGTAACCCAAGAGTACCTTTTTGTTGTTATGGCCGTGGGAAGAAGTTCTTGTGATGAAGCCTGGTTGCAACAAGAGCAATCCAGGCTGGCAGTAAATGTATCACTTGAAGAATTAAGGCTCTGTTAAGTCATACCACAGTAGAGTAATCACATGTGTCCCCAAGTTGGAAATTCCCTGTTTTAGAAGATTAATTTTATTACAGCGTGAACGTGAGTAAATCATATATCCATGCAAATTGTAAATCATTGTATGGAAGCTTGACAAATAAATGTAAGTGCAATTATCTGCCCGTATCTGTGATCCTATCTTATTATTACTAAAGGTAATGACTGATTGGTTATGACAAAGTATAACCAGTAACTTAGATAGATGTTGAAAATTAAATGAATTCATTAAATCATCATTTATCAAGTATAAATCATGGAATGTCGAGTGGTGGAGTGAACTTCTACATAGATACGCCATAATCTCCTGTAAGTAATCAGTGTGAAGGTATCGGACTCTACGGTAAGAAATAAGAAATACGACATATTATTATCTTTATATAATATAATCCACTCCTACTACCACCGATTCTTCTTGGTGGACGGATTCATACCAAAAACCATGACATATATCTCCATTTTGGATAGGTGACTCTTTGGAATTTAGCATTTTTCGCTATTTATTATTTCATTATTTTGACTACATTTCAATGAAAACATTATTAATCAGGTTTTATTGACGTAAAACATGTATTCGTTAAGATTTTACCCTGATTTAATATACTTTTGGGTAATTCGTTGGACCGTGTCTTCAACACCAACACAACACCACCATTTTTACACAGAGGAGTTCTATAACCTGATCTTCCTTCATCAACTTTACATTCTATTAAAACTTTAAATAAAGCTATTGAAAACTATGACTAAACTGCACCCATGGGCTCAATCCCTGGAACACCATTAATTCTTTTATAGTTCACATAGAGGCTACTCCACTCTTAATTACATGCAATCAAAATAGTATACTATAAATAATCTTAACCACCATAATATGATGGTCATACATGGAAGTGAGCATAATCTTACCGTCTTTAATGGCGGGGTTCTCAACGGTGAGCTTTATACTGGGGATGAATTTATTATCTCAGGTTGGTCTTCCCGAAACATTTCGTCTTCTTGTCACCCCACGTATACCACACTACATAAACATGACAGTTAATGCCTTGAATGGAAGTGATGTAATCCACATAATGCAAATTTGATAGGGAGAAGGAAAATTGAGTTTGGATTCACGAAAATCACGTATTAACGCAAGCACAACTCATAATAAGTCACTGTTTGTCACACACAGTCTCCAGAGCAGCTGTTCACTTCCCTCGTTTTAAGGTAATTGGAGACCGCTTTACACTGGCGCCTTTCCCATCAACTATGACAAGTTGCTCTAACAAAAAAAATACTTCCACCACCTAAAAATATTTTTTAGCTGATTATTCCATTTCTTATTTATTCTTACAAGTCCTAGATTCGATGATCACGGTTAATTAAGACTGGTGCCTTATTTGTGAAAATAAAAGAATAAAGAGAGTTATATAAACAGTAGAGCATTTGAGTGTAATAGTTTTGGGTTCGTGGGACTTTTTTAACATTGACAGCCACAGCATGGAAACTAAATATAAAAAAAGGGGGAAATAAGTTACCTATTGAACAATACTTTTATTTCAAATTTGTCTTCCCCTTCAATTTGAAACACAAATGAATTTCAAAATACACTGTACAGTACAGTACATACTGTAATTATACGGAAACTTGCTCGTGTCTTCTTAGTTAATCATTTACGGTACCTTGCTGATTGGAAAACACTAGAGAACAGCTTAAAAAAAAAATTTGTATTTTACATTTAACGATGAACAAAGAAAAAATACCATTGTCCATACATGGCCTTGAACCCTACAATCAGATTCAATAATGTGAAGAAAACAAAATGGAGTGACTTGAATCAACCAATAGATGAGTCTTACACAAGTTAGGATATAATAGAGGAAAGTGGGTATTCAACAGGCACTATCAGACAAATACTGTAACTCAGGATAATAATCCGACACCAAATTGACAAGCAAACACTTCCATGACCAAACGTTTCCTGGTAACCTTTCCATATAAAGCCTGGAGTGATTTCTTAATCTAACCTAAATAAATGCACTGTACTTTCATCCTTGGATCCGTAGGTTGGGTTGGTTCATCTTATCTCCAATAAATCATGTAATGCAGCAGTCACTCCTAGTGTTCATATGGATTGGAAGAGAAGTGGCAAATATTTCTTTGAAAAACCAAAACAAGTACCAAAAATGGTATCAGATGAATGTGTCAGTTTGAAGTTTGTTCAGTAGTGTATGGGAAAAACTTTGGGAAAAGGAAAATTTCGAAAATTACAATTTCTCATCATCACTTACAATTTTCTTGAGATAAGGAATATGTCTCACATACTGGCCAAAGGTAAGGGGTTTACATGCGTGAGAGCGCCGGTGTCATGCGACAAATCTTCCGGTGCGATAAACCTCCCAGGCTCAGCGATTACTGATGTTCATTATCGACATCTAAGATGTATGATTGATTTGTGAGAGCTGAAAATATTAATGAATACGGTAACAGAAGGTTTTGAAAGAATTTCCCATTATATCTTGGGCAAACTGACTACAGTATAAGGATGATATGAAACATACTCACTACCAAAGACAATGAAAGCACAAAGTGGGCAGTGCTTTGAAGTCAATAGAAATTTTAGGGTAAGAACACAAAAGATGAACCAATCAAACCTAAGGAATCCTAACCTAACCTAACATTACAAAATCTTACCCTACTTAACCGATGGTGGAGGCTGATCATGTGTGCACACCGTGAAGAAGTAAACAATAAACACTTAAGCGAACTGGAGAACCACCAAAGTTGTATGAATTTTACTACCTTTGTAATTAAATTTAATACCCAAAACTAAGCATTTACCCCGGAAGGTTTTGCGCACGGAAGGTTTGTAACACGACAACGGACCAAAGTCCTCTGCCTCTTAATACCATATATCAATTTCTGGTAAATCATCCTTGTTCTTTTGAATAACTATTGTCAAATTTCATGTTAACAGTGCATGTGCATGTCTATTGCCCCCCCCCCCTTTTTTTCTACGTCCCTTGACTAAAAATATTTGTAATAAAAACGAGGCTACAGGATTTTTTTTTTTACAGGGACTAGTCCACATTGGGGCCTGGGGGGGGGGTGAAGACAAAAAATTGAATTAAAAATATATACAGAAATGGAAAAAACAAAACAAATCAAGAGTGAGAAACTATATATGTCTGTTGTGTTGTCATAGAAAGAGAAACAATTGAGACCCTGCAATTGTGTAAATGAGGCAGAAAGTCAGATCAGCAACCTGGGACTTGGTCACAATTTTTGTGAGGCCATATGGCAGCAGGGTCTACCATTAGACAACACTTTATGCTTCCAATATCTTCCCAGGCGGTAGTACCTCCCTGTTTGGTAGCTGCCTACTACCTACTACCTAATTAAAAGCTCAATTCATTACCTCTCAACTGACCAAACAATATAGGCTTTGGATTAGTTATCTCCTGAGCACATTGTTTTACAACAGTATGTGCATGTTTTAATAGCAGGACAAACATGGTACAGATGCTGAAGTTTTTCTTGACAAAGACACATTAGAAATTAAAAAATATATGTGCCAGTATTTAACGCTAACCAAGATTTATCTGTTCTTTAGTGAATTCATGGGAGCTTGGTATGGCCCAAGATATAACACCTATACATTTGTATAATTTACATTTCCTCCTACCATTAACCCCTTCAATACCTACCATTAACCCCTTCAATATGGGAACACCACTTTTAATAATTGGCTAATGCCAGACGATCTTATGCAGCTTAGAGGGGAACCCATACACAAGTGGTTAAATAGCACATTATTTACACTTTCTTGTAACAATCACTACACCCATTCAATTCTTTGGGATTCTGTCCTCATTTTTCATCAATGTTGGCAACACAAAGTAGATTCTGAGCACCACATTACTATCTAAAGGTTATGTAAATACTGTACTCATACAGGGAAAATAAATAATTGGTTAAGAAATGTCATAATGTATGTATAGAAACAGCATTTATTTCTTATTTGTCATATATATATATACATATTATATACAGTCTCACTAATTTGTACACATAGTTCAAAAATAGGCTATGTACACCCCATGCCGCAGCTACATCCCCCCCCCCTCCCCCGGTGGGACACTATCTTGGTACTGACCAACAGTGGTATCCAAGTCTGAGCTACACACAGTTTGATGATGACAGGCATCAGTACTTTAAGGTTACCTATACCCACTGGTCATATCAAACTTGTAATGCAGACTGTGGTACAGACAGATTCAATATGACAAATTGGGTTAAGGTTTGGAAGTAATTTTTTTTTTTTTTTTTGGCACCAACAAACTGTAGTAATAGCAGTCTGGTGTACTAACAAGCTATGGTACTGACAGGCAGTGGTACTAACACTGATATTCTGACATTGTGGTATTAACAGATCTTTCCCAATACCCGTTTAAGCTATAATAAAACTTAAAAAAAAACAATTTATCATTGTGGACCTTGGGAAGTTGTGGTCACAGGACAGAGACACAGAATGAGAAGTACACTTATATACCTTACTATATTGATAGTTAATCACCATAAACCACCCATATTTAAGACTGAATTTTGTCATTTGTGAACTGAAAATTCACTATAAGGTAAGTTGAAATAATTATAAGATAATGGCAAAGTGTAAAAAATTCCCTATTCAGAAATTTAATCTTGTGCAAGGAAAGCTGTACTATAAATATCACCAATTGTTACATTAATTTGGATTATGCATGTTGCAGGAAAGGCAGAACCCTATACAGTACAGTATAATGTATCTCTTTAAAAATATCTCGCAATTTGGGGTTTATTTAGATTATGCAAAGGAGTGGAGAAGGTAAGTAGTCCCTGGACCCTCAGGCTCTCAAGGTCTGGGTAGCCACAACACAACATCAGGTTAACAGTAATAGCTGGCCACCAGGGGTAGACAACACCCTTAGGCAGGTTTTGTACTAGTTGACTCACACCCCACACCTGCCATTCCAGTGGGTAGAAAAATGAGATCCAACACAAGCCAGCTTTAACCAACTTTGGGTAATTCATTGCATAACACTCGCTATCTTACGCTCCGGTCCCTTATGGCGCATTGACACAAAAACACTTCCAGTTGTTTTCAGGTACATTTTAGGGATAAGATAATAATGTATTGAGTATTATGAAGTAAACTTCCCAGAAGTCAATCAATTTACATGAGAACAAACTTGGCTGTTTACCGCATCATCCCACCAGGTACATTGTTAAATTTAAGAGCTGCTATTAAAACATCAATTATTAAACTTAAGTCATTCAATATTTAAATCACAATTTTGTACAATAAGCCCCCATTTTGTGATAAACCCAGCTGCCAACATTGCATGTGGCACAATAAAATATTGCAATAAAATTTTTACTGGCAGCATACATTTCCCTCTATTTGCATAATATTTAAATCACAACAAAACAATTTTAACAGGGTCACATTTTGTATTAAAAAAAATGCCTTCAAAACTGTAAATAAATAAAAATATTCTATAAATACTGATAAAAGTAATATAAAAATAGTTCTCTATTTGAAAAAGGAAAAGAACTTAACCTATTGCACTTGGCTGATGCATTGAAACTGCAAGCCATACTTAACAGGAAAACTAAACAAAACCACAGGAATCTTGGGATAAAAGTAACCCAAACATATCAACAGATAACAAGATGGGCCTTTTTGTAGCCATAGTGGGCCTGCAGTTTTGAGGTGGGTTTACAACTTCAGAGCCAAGGTCTGTTCATACCTTGATATGACCCTGGTCTGAGGCCAAGGGAGGGAGGGTAGCCTGAGTAGCCAGCTGCACTCATGAGCCCCTGTTGGAGCATCATGGACTGGTGGGCAGCCAACTGGGAGGGGTGGGCACCAGCTGACCTTAGCAGCAGCTCCTCTTGGGCCTGCCGCTGCGTAAGGTACTGCTGGTAAAGCTGAGACGTGGGATCTACTAGACCACTTGCTAGTGTCCCACGGCCACCTTGGTTCATAAGTGCCAAAGAATCTCGTCCGGAGTATGATGCTAGACTGGCAGCATTAAGGTGACTGAGAGTCTGTGCTTGAGTTGAGGATATAGAATTAAGACTGGGGATCTGAAGAGATGGATGGGACTGAGAAATGGGGTCCCTTGGGTCCCGTGATAAGGATGGGAAAGTACCCTGACTGAGCCCAGACAGGCTTTGATGCGACTGTTGATGAGCAGGAGTTGGAGTACGTGGTGCTCCTGGTAGACCTAAGGCTGCACTTAACCCTGGTGACTGGGGTAAGAATGGAGAAGAGGAGCCAGAAAGCGGACGTGGTAAAGAGCCTGGAGTGAGGGCACCTTCCCCACGGCCAAATAGCGGAGATGACTGTCCTGTCATCATATTGGCATATGAACGTCCAATACCTAACTCAACACTATTGCTGACTGCAGTTGCTGATCCTCCTGCAGCACTACCAGAACTAGAAGCAGATCGACCTGTTGATGCTGGAGTTCCAGTTGAACTACCTCCCCCTGAAGACCCTCCACTGCTTGACCCACTTCCTACCTGAGTCTGTCCGGAACTAACTGACCCTCTCTGCAAAATATCATGAGAAAATAAATTTGCTTGTCCTGAGCGACTGGCAAGAGTAGCAAAAGCTGCACGATCGAGCTGAGCTAGATGTTCATGAGCCAGTCGATCCTGAGTGAGACGCTCAGCTGGCAAGGATCCCATTTTTTGCAAGGAAGCAATTACTGAAGTGGTTGCTAAATTAGTTCCTAAGCTTGTTGCCAAACTTGTGACAATACTTGATGGCAAGCTGGAAGCAAGGCTAGAGGCCAAGCTAGTTGCCAAACTGGTACCCCACATACTCTTCTGTTGCAGGTACATGTGTGACTTATCAGTGGCATGAGCAGGTGGCAAGTCACGGCTAGCAGGACGAGTACCCTCTGTGGGCTTTTGGTGTGCTACTGGAGGCTGTGGACCACTATGTAATTGGGACTGAGGAGTTTGTGGACCTTTGGACAACTGTTGTGGTGAGGCAAGACCAGGCTGAGTTTGCATGTGTGGGCTGGTAATCTGCTGATGGTAATTTGGTTGCATTGATCTGTCCTGGAGTTGTTCTGCCTCTAATTGCTGGGCCAATTCAGCTGGTGAGACTCTTGCAACAACAGATAAACTTGGTGGATGCAAATCACTTAATTCATTAACAGAACTTATTCCACTACGTTCTAAATCTATAACCTGACTTTGTGTGGGAGTTTGTCCTCCAGTTACACCAAACATAGGAGATGGCAAAGCCTTCCCTACAGCAGTGTCAGGAGTAGGGTATGTTGAAGGAGCTAGCTGAGGTTCAGCAGGAGTTTTGGCTGAATCTTTTTCAGCAGTAGGCCTACTAGCTTCTGGCTCAGTGATGCGGGATACAATCTGGGATAAATTGGCCAAGTTGGCAGGCAGTGCAGAAGGAAGTGGAGAAAATGGTATTGTTACATTGGGAGGAGCTGTGCTACTTGTACTTACAGTATCCTCTACAGATTTTGGTTCTGTCCAGGGTGGTGTGGGTCCACCAACTGTGGCATCCACTCCAACTGTAACTGGAACTGTAACTGGAACTGATGTACTGGGAGGGAAATCTTGACTACTGCGATCTATAGCTGCTCTCTTTTTAAGAGGTTGCATTTCAGATTTACTGGGCACAACTGGGCTTGGTGTTGGTATTGAAACCTGCCCAGGAGATGCTAAATCACTAGATAATGGACCAGGTTGGGCAGCTGGGGATAAAGAAGGCTGCTTCTTTGGACCATCTTGAACATTATAATATCCTGGTGGCTTCTTTTGTGACTGAGGAGGTGGTACAGATCCAGTATTTTTGTACTGATCTGTTAAGGGTTTGGTTGTGTCATATGAGTAGTAACCATATTGTGGCTTGGGCTTTTCAGTAGAGTCAGTTGTTAATGAAGCTGGGGATGGCTTGTCTGTAGGTGTGGCTGGAGCAGAAGCTGAGTAGTAACGGGGAGTTTTTGCTTTGTCTAAACTGGAATCAGATGAGCTATAAAAACTTGCATAGCCTGCAGGTGATTTTTGTTTTTTGCTTGCTTCAGCTTTACTGGGATAAAAGGAACTCATGTATGGCACAGTGGGACTGTAAACTGGTGACTCGGCTGGTTTTTGTTCCACAGTCTTCTTCTCTGGTTTGTCAGTATTAGGTTTGTCTGTCATGTCTTGGTAGAAACCCACTTTTAGAGCCCCATTAGCCTGATATTTGGATTTTTCTGGATCATATGATGGGAATGGTTTTGATAAGGAAGTTTCATATCTTGGAGAATATGCAGGTACACTTGGGGACTTTTCTGGCACTGGTGAAAATTGCTTAGAACCAAATCCTGGAGTATGGGGTGACCGAGTCATTGGTGAGCGTTCACCCTCCGATGAGAATGCAGCAGGAGATCGATCAGAATCAAAGCTGTGATTGAGTGGCGAGCGGTCAGATACACCCGAAGATGACACCGAGGCCTTTCGTTGTCGCTCAACCTCAAGTTTTTTAGCTTCTTCTCGAGCACGATCTAACTCTTCCTCTTCAAACTTGTAAGGGTCATCTTCCTCATCAGGCTGTGGAAGATGAAAAAATATTAATACATATCATTATCATAGCAATATCTTTATCTATAGTATCTCTATTTAAATTCAACATCAATAAATAACTAATTTATCATAGGAAATTTATTATGGCTGCATCTGGTCAGAATGTAGTGTCACTAACCCTCAATCGGTAAATAATAATACTTTTTCTTGTCTCAGTAACACAAAATAATCCATAAGCTGGAGAAAGGCAACACACAACTAAACAAAGGCACAGTAATGTACATTCTGCCACATGAAGCATCCCTACCTTCTTACTCTCTGAAACCCAACAAGAAAAAAACAATCCTCATGTAAAAAGCAACATGCTTCCCTAACGCAACACACTTGTGAGGAAATAAAGACTGGAATGTACTTAGTAGAATCTAAACTATAATATTTCCACTTTCTCTTACTGGTTACAAACACAGCACTGTACTGTACTACACAGTAAGTACAATAACTAAATTTGTGGGTCTGCACAATACAGTACTCTACACTGTAAAGCACTGTCTACCTTATGTTCACTCACAATTAATTGAACTTAAAATTGGAAACCATCAATTTCATGTTCCTAATCACCCATAACTTTATACATTATAGATTATGCATTGTACATCTAGTTTAATTAGTTGCATCTCTCTCAGCCATAAGTTCATTTGGGCAAGGAAATTGGCCTGAGAAACTTAAAAGGTACTGCAATTTATAAAAAAATATAATTGTCATTATTCAAATAAAGTTCTAACTTGTGACTCCTGACAAATTTCAATTCCACGGTAATTAATATGTCATGTCGTATAACTACAAAAACTTCAATATGTGTGGACTGCCAGATCAGTGACAAGTCCTCACATAATGACCTCCACTACATAAGGACTGGGATGTGTATATACTGTAAATAGCCAATGTGTGTGTGTACATGCACAGACCAAAAAATAGTTTACCTTTTTAAGTGGACCTCCCTGACAACTATATATTAACGTTCAGTAAATCCTATGTGCTGTTTCCTACACGTAAAATTAACTGACATGGACTGTACATGGCAACAATAATAAGTCATTGTACATCTCCATCACCTTGGGATCAAAATTCAAGGCAAGAACATAAAAAAATAAAACTGAGAAACACAAGTATTTCAATAGGACAACTGTGAGATTAAACATATACAGTATACTGTACCAAGTACAGTATACCAATGTTAGCAAAATTATGTTTGTTTATCTAAATCATGTATGCTAGTATGTGTCATTTCTGTGCGAATTAATCATCAATTACTGATACAGTATTCTATTTCTTTCTGTCTCTGATATTTACAACAATACTCTAAAAATTTATTACAAGTATTTTTCTCCTTTTTTTCAGTAAAATTATTTTTCTTGTTACTATTTTTCTCATATACAGACCAGACTACAGGCATTCTCAGAAACACCACCAATACTTCACCATTCAAAGGCTATATGGTTAAGCATCTACTAAATGAACATATACTGTCTGATTAGATTTCTTTGAATATGCAGTATCAGAAATGCCGTAATTATCTGAAGAATATTATAAATGAAGCAAAACTCACATGACACAGTTCAATTGTATCACAACACAATTCAGTATAGAGCACTATGAAAAAAGCTCCTCAGTAACCTACTATACTTGAAGGTAACAAACACATTCTCAGATACTAAGATACTCTGAATGTGACTTTTATGGTTTACAATTTTCGAATGATTTAAATGTTACAATGATGACAAAGTTGTAGACCTCAATGGAACAAAACCTCAAATGACATGGAGAAGATGGCAACCCCCATGTGCACACCCTGGCTAGATTTCAGCAGCGGGTATCTTGGGAACGTGAAGGCACAAGACAAAATTGGTTCTTGGAGGAAAGCTCTCAGGGTTACATATCACATCCTCAGGTATTTGCCAATATCTTTGAAAGAGCCAAAGAATGATTCAGAAAAGGACCAGGGACTGAATAATAAAGCCAATGTTGAGATCAAAGCTGCTGAAAAAATAAGAATATTCACAGTAGAATATTCACAGTCTACAGGATCCCTGAGGTAAAACGAAAAGAAGTCATTGTAGCTGATGAGACTAATATTGCTGCTGAAATCGATGAAACTGAAGGTACTCTCCACTTAATTTCCTGAGGACAGCTGTGAGAAGACAGAAACAACCTTCGGTGTTATTCAGTTTCCTACATAAGAGCGGATTCATTGCTGATTAAGAATTTATTCTCTCTGCCAAAAAATTATACTGTACCCAACATCAGTGAAACGAACAAAGTAAAGGGAGAAATAACAAGGAAGGGAAGAATATTGACTCCTTGTTTTATATGTTTGTACTACTGAAGTCATCTGAAGTTTGTACCTATACTGTACTGTACTGAGATGGGTGGTCATGTTCATGTTGGATTAAAGTGATGCAGGGCCAGGGATGGATATTACATAATATAATGTTACCACAGTCAAAAGTTTGGAATATATTGTCTCAAACTGTGAAAGGAAGGGTGGTAACTCATTAACTGATTTCATTTCCTAAACTGATTAAAAAAATTTCTTGTACTGTATCAGAAATGAAATTGAAGTACCTCATCACATGTCATTAGAACACAATATTGTAGTATACTGTTTTATATTTTCATCCAAGAGGAATCCTTAATTTTCTGGGCTGTATCAGGAAACTTAAGAAACGGCTTATTGAACAGGTTACAATGAATGTTTTGAATGTACCCGTGCTTAGCAGAGGTACAATGCCGGAGATGAAGTTAGTGAGCGAGTCAATGAATTAAACGTGTTGAATGTTAGTACATTTTCTTTTTAAGAGTTGGTTCTTTAGAGAAGTAAAGAACAAGATACTAACATAATGTACCAGTACTCCATATGCTCAGAATCACATCTAGAGCAGTGTTTAATCCCAATAGTCACAGAATATTAGAGGAAGGGTGGTGTGGCTTCAGGAAAAGATGTATTAATATAGTGGTGATTTTCAGTAGCTATAGGGATAGTGGCCATCATCATCTGTGTAAGTTTCACGTTCCTTGTGTTCCATTTTTGTACACATGGAAGAGTAACGGAGAATCCTTGGCTGCCGATTAAAGGTTAAAGAAAATGAGTGAGAAGAATTTGGGGAAATTAAAGATGTTCACGGCCTTCATGAATATAGAAAAAGTACGTATGTATGAAACAGTTGATAGAAATCATCGTGGGAGTTATTATAAATGTGTGGGATAAATGAAAAATTCTTGAATACTGTTCAGAGTTCTTAAAGGTAAAAAGAAGGATGTGTCAAGACTGTATCAAGAGGAAAATTGGCTCTTAGCACCTATGTGTCGTTGTTTTATGTCAATGATTCTGCAGTATTCATGTATGAAGGAATAAAAGTTGTCAGTGGAAGATGAATCAGTTGCTGTTTGCAAATGATACTGTCCCGGTAAGCTTGTGAGCAATAAGTATGGTGAAGTGAATGATAAGAAGAGGAAATAAATAAAGTGTTAGCGTGGAAATGAAAGAAATGTCAGACACAGAAATAAATAGGATTTGAGGTGATATGGACATACTGTACTAATAAAATGGGATTGGAAAGATTGGTAAATAGGGTATGGTTTAGAGATGGATGACGGAAGGGAGTGGAAGATCAAGGAGGAGAGAATGACAGAAATACAATACCATAACTTCACCTACAGTATGGACATCGTGGAAGGAGCAGCAGAACATATGAATAATAAAAGTGTATACACCTGTAAGTTGAGTGATTTATGGAGATGTAACAGCAATTAGAGAGGATGAAGATGATTGTAATGAGAGTATTTTTTATTTTGATTCCCACTAGCCAGTGGCACACAGGGCAATGACTCGGGGTAAAAAAAAAAAAATACTTAATATGTTTAAAACCATCTCACTTATCTCTTCTTCAATGTTTCTGCTTCTTCCTTCTCACATCTCTTCCATACTCCTCATCTCTCCCTTTACTGAATCTCCCAACCATACATATAAACAAGTCAAAGGTACATTATCTGCTTGCAATACTTTACGTTAGATAAGATTACCTTCAGAGACAAACTCTACAACATTAAGTGCTATTACCTTTAAAACTAAGCTACACCTGTACCTCTATAGTACCTAACAAACATATACATAACAAATGAGGAAGATACACACATAACAACAGGTACAGGGACAAAGCTTAACTACAATACAGCTGTAACAAAAGACAGTCTCAAAATGGTTGTCCTTGCCATCCAAACCTCAACCTTTCCTAAAATAGTTTGTGATGATTGTACAACTCTTTCTAACACCCCTCAACAACTGTCAACTTCCTTACTTCATTGTATCATTTTTTAAACATTTCACAAACAATCCCAATGACTTAAAATACAGCTTCTCAGTTCTGCCCACTGTTTTATATCTTCAGTATATATATATATATATATATATATATATATATATATATATATATATATATATATATATATATATATATATATATATATATATATATATATATATATATATATATATATATATATATATATATATATATATATATATATATATATATATATATATATATATATATATTTCATGTAAATCCACAATGAAAACGTGGATAAGATAAATCTTGATAAAATCACACGGGTACTCCGTTGTTTCCATTTTCCCGTGTGATTTTATCAAGATATATATATATATGTGTGTGTGTTTACTATTACGAGACCTACCATACCCCTTCTTTCATTACATCTAATGAATGTTTTATCTCAGTTTGTTTGAAGTGTAAACAAAAAGAACTTTCTACTACAGTCTTGAATTTGTTTCACATGTGTCCATGAGTTATGATGCAAAAATGTGAAATTTTTTGTATTCAACCATAATTTCATGAAAGGAAGTGTACTTGTACAGCACTGTACTGCAGTCTGATGTTGGGAAAACAGGATTAGTTTGATACAGTACTGTCCTGTACAGTATTGTACAGGATTATAAATGGCAAAAATGATAAACTGCAAAAATTCATGTTTTCCCTCACATTATGTACAATAAAATAGTTTTGGTTGACTGACGTATGAAGTGATGAATATAAATAAAGATTGAAAACCATTTAGTAAAAAATATTTGTAAAACCACTTCACTACAATATGACCGACAAAACTCTATGCTTTCATATTTACTTCACTGAGGTTATCAGAACAATTACTGTTAGGTTTTTTTTTCTAAGAATTATGCATCTTACCAAAGCTGCACTATTACTTTACTGATTTAAAAAATTTCACATTGGTAGAAAACTACAATGAAGTTTTGTTACACTGAATGACATGTTGGTTTTTGTCAAATACTTTTAACACATTAAAATGTCCTCTCTATCAGCCTTTATAACACATACTGTACTGGCAAAATAACTACAGGGTGTCGCAGGAAAATTTATACAAATTATCTGACAGATTTTCAAGATTGTGTGAAGGCTTGTGTTACAACAGCAACATGTTCCTCACTTGTTGATGTATGAGGTCTCCCACAAGTGTGGAAAGTGTTGCTGGTGTAATATAAATACAGCCTCCCCCCCCCACCCCCCAAGTTCGCGGATTTTTACTTCGAAGTTCTTGAGCTTAGTTACAAACAAAATTGAACTATTTCACAAGCGATATCATGAAATATAAATATTAAACAACATTTTATATGAACTATTATGAACTGCTTTATAAGAGAAGAATTAGCCATATTACTGTATGTATCTCCTTATAATAAAGGCACGGTTGTTGATACCATGAAACTATGTCTCCCATTCAAAAGTTATTTAGTTGTTAAAACTGCTACCTGTATTAATATTCATATGAATTATCAGAATTATTATTTTTAGCCCCTAACTGGCATGCATTTATATACAAAGAACAAAAAGAATAAATATTTGTTACTTTTAAGGTGCTTTGTCTTTCTAGTTACTGTACTGTATTCTAAAGAAAGATCAAAGTAAATAAGTAAATAAAAAATAAAAAAAGTTTGATATGCAACAAGCATGTTGTGCCACTTGGTAAGTTTTGGGAGTTATTTTTATGTGTAAATAACATAAGAAACGTTCCAGATATTTCTGCTGAGCCCACATCAAAGGTTATGTTTGGCATTCAAATTTTATGTGCAATAATAATAAACAAAATACTTACAAGGAAATACTGTACCTTGAGGATGATAAAATTATTATGTTTAACAAAACCAATATACTGTACACTAATTTATGTTCATTCAAATTTCAAGAGTACAATTACATATGTACAGTACAACTATATAATGAGGATGTACAAGTATGTGTGTGTGTGTATAAACCTTAATATGGCTTCAGCATTTATTCTGAAGGATAAAAAGTTTCCTGTGCACCCAGTGCAATCATTGGATTAGATTTTCCTCCAAACACAAACTGTCACATGAACTTTGGTGGTGACATCCCAAGAAGTAAAGTTAATGAGTCCAAGAACTAAGCAACCTTGCCACTGAGTGACCAACTCCATGAAACTAAAATACTGTTTGATATATTGTATGGGCCATCTATGTGTCGGCTGAGGTCATCTTACCTATCCACTATTAGGTAATCTATAATAACCTGGTCACTAGATCCTTGCTATTTGTTGTCTAATCTATCGATACAGATCTCATCAGATCTGATGGTACATGCAAAAGCCTCCAGAAAAATGGGTCAATGTGCATCAACACAATAACTTGTGATAGGAACAACAAAAGTGCTCAAAACACTTGTTGAAGGATTCTACAATTAGTTTAGTAGTCCCAAAGGTGAAACAGTAGCCTTTTGCTTGCACTATACAAGGGTATTTCATAAAGCAATTAAAATGAGAATTAATGCAGCTATTCTCCCAGTTGACATAACACTTGTAGCAAATGGAAAGAATAACTATGTTCAAGGGGAGCATGACAGTACTGTACAGGCATATCTCTTAGAACACTCTTTCATTGCTCGTTGCTCTGAAGCAAAATTTTACCCAAAGATGAAAAAAAATATTCAAAGGATTTATAAGTTCTATGCAAGACTACCGACACGCACTACTCTCGTCTTTTATCCGAGCTGCGCACTCAACAAATGGAAGTGGCATACAACGATTGCAGCTCAACTAATTAGCGACCACCTCCACAATTGTGCATTTACTCCTGTAGGATTAACTCTCTCTAACTTTATTTTTGTCTGGAAAGAGACTTACAACTGACATTGCTGGTAATGTGACCAAGCCATCAAGGAAACACATTACCATGGATGCAAAGATGCTGATCAGAAGATGTGTGGAGGCAAGTGAGTGCCAGATAATACTGGTAGTAGCTTGGGCTTAAACCACTTGAATCATTCTCAAAAATACAGACAAGATGAGGGATTCTGGCCAGTCCTCCACTTCATTAACAACAACCAAGGCATATCATTCAAGGAGCATTTAACAGAAGAAGATGGAGGTCCAGTTAGGCTCCATGTTGGAGGAGGATCCTGTTAGGAGTGATGGCTGATGGTAGTCAATCTTATGTAAGCTCTACATGAATGCACTAATGAATGTTTAACTACTGTATAAAAATGGTATGAACATTATCATTAAAAATCATTATTTTTATAAATAAAATATTTTAATACATTTACTGTATAATATGTACAGTATTGCTCAAGGGTAAGTGTTGCCCTGAACACATCTCCATTGGAACCACTTCATACTGACCTCCTTGAGAGAATACCTCATATTGTGTTCCATTTTTCCAAAATACATCTAGAGTGCTAACGGAAGTATGCCTGTACTGTACTGTATATGAAAGCCGAGTTGGTAATATTTGCAAGATTGTGTTGATTTTATGTGACAGTTTACTGAACAATAACAGACAAAGGGATAGATTGAACTTAATATCAAGAAAAGAAATAGAAACAGTAATGAGAGAAATACATTAAAGGGAACGAATTAGAAGAGAGAAGAAAGTAGACAAATGATGAAAGGAAAAAGAAAGCATTATATAATACTGCACTGTTCTAGAATTATCTATGGTCAAGGGTAGTACTGTACTGTACAGTAATCTTCTGGGAAAAAGTGAGTGAGTTAAGACTGGGACCCAAGATGACATGTGACTAGCCCAGTGCATGCTAAGGGTAATTAATGTCCTTTATACAGAGCTACAATACAACCCTAGTTCTGGATTTACTTAAACAGTGAATTCTCAATCCATTTCTTTCATTACCACACTAAACAAAATAAGAGACTGTGCTAACTCAATTAAACAACCACATACTTGTTATGAGTGAACAAATTTCAATATCCACGGTAACTGTCACCACTGCAAGGTCACCTCGTCGCCTTGTACAACGCAAGGGACAGAACACATACGGTGCTTCATACTGTATATACTAATCATTATCTACTGACCATTTTTTTCACCAAAAAATTAACCCTTAAAATACTAGTCCAATTGATTTAGGTATACAATGAATAAATTAGATAGAAATATTAAATTTAAGTTGTAGAGAAAATAATGGTCATTATAGATAAAGTCTTACCATACTGCAGTCCCGAATCTCATAATCTTGGTCTCCCATCTAGTGAAAAATTGGAAATTTAAATGCTGATGTATATAACTTATAAAGACGATAGAAAATAAGTTTTATATATAGATTTTTACAAACAATTAAATCAGTGAGCAGATTATATTACATTATCCAAAGAGCCGGTGAATGACAGAGATATCATGTGAAAGACCCATATTGTAAACTAATGGTCAGAATGCCTCAAGTCTGGTCAGGTGTCTACTTTACTACCACATACAAACTATATCAGTAATGCCTTCATTAAAAGTGATTTTTTTTCACAGTAACAATGTCATCCTAAAGGTTGTAGAAATTTCTGCTCAAGTTCCTCAACTCAGAAAAAAATGGTTTTGGTAAACAGTACATAATTTATATACCAAACTACAGTACTGTATCTATATTTTACAGAGACTCTGGGTTTACTTATTAAATGATGATTCTGTACCAAGTGTTAGGTTGTGTATAATAATAATCATAAGAACTAATGTAATTTAAATTTACTAAAATATATTTGCAAATATAATTCTACAATTCCAAAATCAGAGCTTGTTTTTCCTAATTTCATAAGCAAATGCTCTTCAGTTAAGTGTGTGTGTGTGTGTCTATAAAGTCTGTGCGCAGTTTAAAATGTTACTACAGTTGTATAGAAGATAAAAACAATCTGTAAAGTGTAATAGAGAGAAAATTTATTCAAGTTTTAACACGATCTTTGTGCAAAAATAACTGACGTGATTGGTACCATAATAGAAACACAATTGCAGAACGTGTCCGTGTAACTTCAAAATCGTATTATGCTTTGTATCCGTAATGATGGTGGATGTGTTGAAAATTAAAATCTTAATATTGTAGTTGTTAAAACTTGAATAAATTGTCTATTACACTTTACAGATTGTTTTTATCTTCTATAGAACTGAAGTTATTAACATTTTAAACTGCACACAGACTTTATAGACACCCTGTATATATATATATATATATATATATATATATATATATATATATATATATATATATATATATATATATATATATATATATATATATATATATATATATATATATATATATATATATATATATATAGTATAATTAATGTTTGTGTGTGTACTCTTTTGAATCTTTTACTGCTTCATGCTGAGTGACCAGAATCAAAAGTAAATACACACACACACACATTTTTTATTTGTTGTCATGTAATCATTCTTACTGCTGTAATAGAAGTGTTCTGCTAGGGTACTGCCCTTCCATAACAAAGTGCTCAAATTTCATATTCTCTGCTGACTCCTGGTAGTCTATCTCCCTCACTTTCAATACTGTACATCCATTATCCTATCCTTCCATCTCCATCTTCCTCTCTCCCCCATAATATCCATCTCTAAATACCTTTTTTATAAATTTTCACTCCCCCCTTCTCTCATTATGTCCATACCACCTGCATTGACCCTTATCTGTTTTCCACCTGACAATTCTCTCACTTCCACATTTGTTCCCAACATCTTATTTACCTAACATATTGCTCTGAAGTACAACATTTTTGTCACTTCTAATTTGTTTCTTCCTCTCTCATTCAGAATCCATGTTTCACACTACTCTTTCTCAAGTCTAGCTAAAATTTGTTTCTCCCAGTCTCCTTTCTCTATCTGCATCACTTTACTAATGTTCACATTCACTATCAAATTTCTATTTGCATACACACTTCCAATCTCACTGACTAACATTCCTAACTTTATTTCCGGTTCAACTACTACAGCAGTGACATTTGCAAACATTAGCCAAATATTTTCTCATTACATCCTGTGTTGGTTTACCAAACATTGAGCCCCACTCTAAAACTTTTGTTTCCACCTCTTTTATAATTCATTCAAGGTAATATTAAACAATTACGTTGACAATACACATCCTTAATGTAGTCTTATTTTTACTGGGGCCCAGTAATCCTCTTCCCAACATTTATGAAAGTTTCAATCTTCTTATGAAAACTTTGAATGATGGTCTTTCATCAATTTCCTCAGACCCACATATACCCAAAATAATTTTTTCCTTCTCTTGAAAGCTTTTGCCCCATGTTCCATAATACAGTACTTACACTTGATTTAAACATCCTCTTTCTTTTGCAAAAACGTTTTACTCTTCCTTTAATACACTACAGGTATATTTGTAACAATTCTTGGAATAATGTCTAACATACACTTGCCCTGGCACTGGTATAGTATAGTACAGTACTGTACTTCTCAGATTTATTCCTATATAACCTATAAATTCATCCTCATCACCTTTCCCTTTATACGGGGAAACTATACCTCAACTTTCCCATTCGTTTAGTACGCTCCCCTTGGGCAAGCACAACCTACTGTATATACTAATTATCCATTCTATCACTGTTACATCTCACATTTGTAGTTCATCCATCAATTGAACCTTATACAGTACTTCTTCAGCTTGCTTACAGTCTGTCTACTATCGTTCTTTCTTATTACTTTCTCCTCTCTTACCTGATAGTCCTGTATTCTTCCACACCCCACAAAGACAACCGAGCCTACTTTTCATATTCTCACCATCATTCATTTATTTTCTCTTTACTCCACAATAAACCATCTCCCCCACCCCCTTTCATTCTTAACTGCCCATTTTGAGATCATATGAAGATTAAGCCCCCTAGCTTTATTTCACCTAATGATTAGACCACCTTGGATATGCTTAAGTTAGGTTATATTAGGGTGTTTTATCATCAGGTGAAATAAGCTAGGGGGCCAAATATTCATGTGATTCAATTTCCTTGTTCTCTACCTGCATTCACTTCCTCCTAAGCACCTCCTGTTCTCCTTAAAACCCTGTGGCAGCCTCTCTCCCTACCTTTCTTTTGCTCTTTTTATCTTGGCTTTCTTCATATTTGCTCTGTAATGTTTTCTTTCTTTCACTGTCCTCATTTACAACTGTCACCTATATATACTTTTCTTCATCTAAACAAGTCTTTCATCTCACCATTCAATCTTCTTATAATTTTCATTCCTATTCCCTTGTGCCCACACACCTTCCAAGGCAGTGCAACTGTTTCCATTCTTTGTTGGCCCCTCCTACTTCACACCCACATACATTAGTTAACTTTACCCAAAATATTTTTCTAAAATTATCTTAGCCTCGTTCTCTTTCCTTAGTTCATTAATATCTAAAACCTTTCTTTTTTTCATCTTTTTTTCCCTGAACCATTCATTTGCTATCATTCATACTTCTATTGCATAATGGTCACACACACACTCAGTGTACTTCTCCTCTTAGAATGTACACATAACTCTTCTTATATACTAGTCTCTTATCCACAATGTATATCTAATAACCTTCAGCATATATGAAAAAAATTATCTACAGTACATATAAAAAAAATCCATACCTTCATTTTCTTCCAGATCGGTTCATCTTCCAGTTTCTCATCTAGCTTTTCATACCACGGGGTCTCCGGAGGTTTCTCTGGAGAGATTGGTGGCTCGGGAGACACTGGAGGTTCAGGACTTGGTGGTGGCAGCAGGGAGGGTGGTGGTTCATCCAGTGCAATTGGCTCAGTCTCCTCTACTTCACCCTCATCATCAACATTAATGATTTCTGAATCATCCATTTCTTTAGGACTGTCCATCTGGTCATCTGGCATTTTCTTCGGGCCAGCAGAAGTCAGCTTGGGGGTGCCAAATGCTTTAAACCAAGCACTCAGGTTAGGCGTTGCTCTTTCTTGCTTAATCTCAGGAGCCCTGGGTGTTGGGGGTGGCTCCTCAGTCATCCTTTCTGGGAAATCATCTACCTCTGGAATCTCTTCTTTTAACTCTTCTTCTCTAACAGATGGAATTTCTTCCTTTTCTGGTAACTTTTCCCACCTGTTTTCCCATGGGCTATCCCACTTCTCTTTTGATTCCCATTTCTCTTCTTCATCAGTGCTGTTAGCTTCATGAGATGACTTCATACCTGTGCCAATGTCACCTGAGAGGATAATACTGCCTAGACTAAGTTTGGGACTATCCCCTACCTCGCTGTTTGGTACAAGTCCAATTCGTGACTCTTTGGCTTTTGCTATGAGTGTGGTCAACTTTGAATGTTCTTGCTTGTTGATCTTACCAAAAGGGTTGGTTTTGGGTTTTGGTTTACCCTCTGAAGAACTTTTGGTTTCCTTTTTAACAACACCTTCTTTCTTAGCTATATCTTTAGATTTAATAATAGCTCCTGGTTTTATTCTTCCATCCTTAATGTCTTTAAAGAGTTCTTTTGTGTTATCTAAACTCTCCTTTTCATTTTCTGGCTTCTTCTCCTTTTTCAATTTTTTCTTCTTTGGTTCTTCTTCTCCGTCTCCTCCATTACCATTTTTCCTTTTCTTCTTTTTGTGGGCCTTCTTATCTTTATCCTTGGGTTCATCCATCATCAATTTTCTTCTATATTCAGCCTCAATTTTGTATGCAATGGCCTCAAATTCCTCAGCTGTAACCTTATGGGAAGGAGAGTTGCTGGCAGAGGAGTATTCACTAATGCGTGGCACGTTGGAATCATCCAGCATAGTTGTTATATCCTGGAAAGACAAAAAAAAATTATAAAGATGTTATCAACTCCTTCAGCACCAGAGGATACAATCTCCATATCAAGTAAAATGAGGTGATGTTTAAAATACTAAAGCTATAAAAAGAGGTAGTGTCTGGAGAGAACCACAAAGTGCATATCCTCTATGTCTCTGCTGTTGTAGCAGACTAAAAGAATCAAACAGGGACTCCAAAAAAGAATGATTTCTACTGCAGATAAACATACATCAAGGAAGGAGTGGTGTAGTTCCATAACATGCACCTGCAACTTTCTTTCTACTTAATCAATTTCACATAATTATGGGAAAGAAGATGCTGACAACAAGACTGGTTACCTGATCTTTGAGAAATGAGAATGGGTACGAAGGTGGCCTTACTATTAAGGAAAAGTCACCTGGAACCTATTCAAAGTACAGGATCTGGGTAACTGGAAAATGATGCACGGGAAGCAGTAGAACAGTGTTTTGAATAAGACATCCAAGTAAGGAATGTGTGTACGGGAGAGGACAAAACCTCTACCAAAGATTGTTTATAAGTACTTTTTCTTTACTGATAATCAATGAAAAAACATTTTATACTATAGTTACTTATGTTTATATTCCTTATTTTCTCTGTAAGAGAGAATTTTCCCCCGTCAATACTCAAGACATCAAATGTTAACTACAGTACTGTATATCATTACCGTTTACAATGACACTTAATATTTTATGGCAACAGATGACATGGGAACCAAATCTTTAAACTAATACCTTAATAGCACTGTCACTGCATCAATGACCATCCCAAAAAATCAAACTAAAGACAATACAAGAAAGTAAAAATCAATTACATCAATACAATACTACACTAAATACACTTGGAGTATTACCAAGTGGTGAACTGTATGGTGACCTGCAGTTGTATGGTACACAAAAATTCCTTAAATGTCTACAAAAGCTGGGTGAATTGGTCCATGCAAAGTAAACTCAAACTGTGGACCATAACTTTTAGTATGTGCCCATACAGTGAAAATAATAATATATTTCTCAAGGGTATATTGTGGTAAAAGTTAATAAGCCTAATACATGATGATAATACAGTTCACAATCTAATAATAAAAGAAAATTGAGAAGAGAATTTTAAATTGAATCAGTTGAGGAATTCCGGAGATATGGCTAAAAAAGGAGCAGAAGAAAAATAGCAATAAACAGGGTAAAAACATAGGTATCCTCTCTCTAACAGAGGGGGGTCACCTGATAACAATACCTTCAGAGTTTGTTCCGTCGCTGCAGACAAGGCATCGATGGCTGCCATATTCTTTGCTGGGATCTTCTTTTTCTTGCTGTTTTTCTTTTTTCCTTCTTTCTTACCCTCTTTCACCTTCCCTTCTTTGTGCTTCTCGTGCTTGTCCTGTTTGTCATGGTGCTTCCCATGCTTCTCGTGTTTTCCTCGATGTTTGATTTTCTTCTTTTTCTTACCCACTTCTTCTTTGGTTTTCACCGCAACTTTGCCTCCCTCCGTCTCCTCCAAGTTCTCTCCCTGATCCTCTTCATCGGAGTAGTCGTATACGTCCTCCACTTTCAATATCTTCTTTCCGTCCTTCTCTATAGCATGCTTATTTTTCTTCTTGTGATGTTTTCCCTCTTTTGATTTGCTTTTATGGTGGTGATGGTGATGATGGTGATGGTGGTGATGCTTCTCATGCTTGTCACCGTGTTTGTGCTTCTTTTTCTCTTTATCTTTGACCGATCCGCTTTTCTTTTTACCCTGTTTCCCTGAATGATTATGTTTAGTTTTCTCATTTAATTTCACTACTGTCTCCTCTTCTGCCTCCTGTTCTTCTTCATCATCATCGTCTTCTATATCATCTATTTCACCAAAGAGTTCATTATGTCTTTCATTTAAGTAGTCAGCATTACTCTTTTCGTCGTCATTTTCTTCTTCATCACTTCTATCATCAATATTGTTATAATACAAACACACGTCAGGTTCCATATCATCATCATCATCTTCCTCTTCATCATCAACTGCATCAGTACTCACTTTTTTGTTTACATCTTCTTTTCTGGGTCTTCCCACTTTATTTTTAACAACTACGGGTTCTTCTTCTTTGTGAGAATCGTCAACAATGGAGTGAGGAGGTTCATCTGGCATTTCCTCATCTTCATCCATATCTTCATCATCCTCAGGGTAAGGATCTTCCCTCACTAGAAGTGGAGGCTCCTCAAACTCATCCTCATCTTCTTCTTCATCATCATCATCATCGTCGTCATCACGAAATTCATATTCATCAATCTTTGGTTTGTCTTTATTCTTCACCCTGTCTTTGTCTTTTTCTCTGCCAAACTTACTCTTCTTCCATTCCTTTTCTTTCTCTGGTGTTGTGTTCAAATCATTATAATGTTTCTCTTTTGGTTTCCTGCCGACTTTCTTTTTCTTGCGGCCTCTTTTTTTTGGTGTTACCTTTCCTCCATCTATTCTAGTGTTTTCTTTTTCATCACTATTACTTCTTCTTTTGTTCTTTCTCTTTGCTGCCTGCTGGTAACTCATGTCTATGTACATTTCTTCATCAGAAGACAGGTCAGCTTCAAGATATTTAGCCTTGAGCTTTGCAAACACCTTCTCCAGTGTGTAAGCCATGTGTGTGTATTCTGAAAATAAAACAAACATATTAAACTAAAGTAAGAGTAAGTGACATTAATGATAGGATATTATGTATGGATACCTGCTTTTGCTCTCCATTGCAGCCACCATTTATTATTACAGGAAAAAATTGAGTGAAAAATAAAATTAATGACCATATGAGTTGTAAATAAGCAAGATTATTAACCAGGCATTTCTACTTAAATGGTAAATACTCATGATTTAATTATTCCCAACACAAATCAAACACATTGGCAGGATTTTTTCTTCTGTCTAACTAGGGGTCTCTATCTACAATATTTTGGACAATATAAAATCTACTGCCATCCTGACCCTCAATGTTAATTAAAATCCGAAGGAGGAAAAGCACTTACTCCTCTCTACAGTATCTCCAAAAACAGACATGATGTGGTGCACGTGATGATATGATGTCACAGCTTGTTGCATTCTAACTTCAATACTGATAGTTGTTTCTATAGATAACTTTTAGGGTCTTTTTGTGATGAGAAAATGTAACCAATTAATGAACTGATCTGTCACAGAGGTGTACGGTTGTCAACCTGTGGGCTTTGTGCTATAATTTTAGTAAAGGTGACAGGCCATAAAGGGAACTTACAATCTTGCACTTTAATTAACACTTTCCTTACTGCTTGGCTGAGCTTGTAAGTGTCTGACACTGAAAGTACATCTTAAATGTCAAAGCATTCAGCATGGAAGGGACTAATATCACAACCAGGGCAGAAAACCAGGCAAAAATTGGATAACGCATTACATTTATCCACCTATCTAAGTATCTATCTCTGTAAAATATGTTGAAGACTTTCTGCCCATCACTACATATCTAAGAATTAGTGAGTAAATGAAGCCCTCTGAGCAAAAAGTGAAAAAATAATAATATTAAAAAAAGACAATCAGAAATTGCAGTTAATACAGTATTTAGCTTATCTGAAACAAGTATAGTGGTGTAATAAACACATTCTAGGCCACTTAGTCATTTGTCCTGGCCCCACTCAAAGTGCCTCATACAACAACACTTCATAAATTTGCTAAACAAATTTCTACGGTAGTCAGGCTATCACTTAAGCTTAGCATTTAACCCTTAATTAACTCGAGAAAGAAGAAAATGAAAGAACAAGAAGCATCTAAAACATTTTACAGGCACAAGAGTACAGTACAAGGAAGTGAGAACAAACAATAATACAGTACAAGCAAAATAAACAAAGAAGAATTTTATTGTGATAACAGAACCAGGTATTTATTAAGAAAGGAAAACTGTATAGAGCTCTTGAAAGTGAGGTAGTTTGCTCGCCAGTCAGCTTAGCTTAGCTTAGGTTATCCCAAGAAAAGACTCATGCACACCACAAAGTATATTCCTTTCACTTAACCCCCGGAGGAGCTTCTGGAGGCAATTAGGGCCAGATGTGACTACCATACACTAAACCATAAGGAGAGAGTTATTCTATGCAGTGTAAAATCTTCACACTAATGACAAAAGACTCACCACTCTCAGGACCATTATAAAGTTTACAGTTGTCCATCATAAGTTTGAAGTCTCCCTCAAACATCTTAAGATTGGAGTAGAACCCAGCATCCAGGCGCTCCTCCATCTGGAAATATATACTAATAAACTGTCTGTACAGTACAGGTATTTATAACATGAGTTAAGTTTCTTTTACCAATATCAATCTTTTACTGATGTTATGGTAAATTAATGTATGTATTACGTGATATCATTACAACATACTGCAGTTATCATCATACTTACTGAACTGAAAGAAATGCCAATGAAGTCAGTTGAGTTATCATGAATTTAAGCCATTCCCCAGAAAAATTAAACATCAAATGACACATGAAAAAAATAAAATATAAATCTCCTGGGGTCCCTGTGCAATGAGCAGTTGCAGTTAATAACAATATGGCTACCAATTGGCTACATTTTATCTTGTAGTCCCCATTCAGTTTCACTAGTACAGTATGGGACTAATTACAAAAAAGGCAGTTACAATAAAATAAATAAAGTCATTATGTATTTCCTATATTCAGTAACTTCCTGGTAACCAAGACACAGTGTCTCCCTCTGATCAACTGTTGATGACTGGACACTAGTTCTCACAATATTTACAGTAAATTTCAACATGCTAGTTAGGTTTTCCTGTAACTGAAAAGAGTATAATAGAAAACATGAATATTCCTGTAACAAGTACTGTACTGTATATACTGCACATTAAAAATAATGGAATGGCTACAGAGAGAACAGAAAAAGGTAGAGAAAAATACTGTACTGTATAAGAAAGAAAAGTTAAAAGGGCAGAAACTGGAAGAAAAAATCAGAAACACACAAACTGGAGAAAATCATTCCTAAAAGGTAACAATAAAACATGCAATAGTGTACTCTTATGGTTTTCACATACTTGGAAAAGAGAAGCATGTAAACTATACTTGTAGACATTTGCAATTCAAGGATGACCTTTCCAAACAGTCCACATAAAATTAAAAGATTATTAGACAGGCTACACTGTAACTGTAAATTGTTTTTAAATCTGAAACTTATTTTGGTCAGTGGATACTAACCCTAGTGATGTGCATGGGTCTCCGGATAACTGCATAGTAATTGGGTGCATATTCTTCTTCAACTGGGTCATGAAACGGCCAAGCATCTTCATGGTCCCGGAGGTGCTCAAGAACTTTGTACATACCTGTACGTAAGTCATCCTCCGTTTGTAAGACCCTATAAAGGAATAAAACCAATTCAATTTGCAAAAATATAAAATTCAGTTATAGTAATCATAATTCATTTTTATTATTATTATACACAATAAGAAAATACAGTCTCTACACACTCTTCATTATCATTCCCCACTCTACCATTAGATTTGATGATAGAGTGCTGCTTTTGAAGGCTACCTGCATTCCTTAAGTACTTGTACAGGCATCATTTTTTATTTATTTTTTTTTTGTCAGCAGTTTTTTGAACAGCTTGGGAGGACTGGAATTACTGGTAAGACAAACTCATCCCTCATATGCTTTCATACATTTTGTGGTAACCAATATATTCTACTATAGTATGAGGTTTTCCTTCAACAACACAACCTTAAGTTTTCAATTTGGTTTGCCTGTCGCTTTACATAACCCAACTACCTGTACACCCATCGCCCCCCCCACGATCACTCTCAAAATCATGCTATCCATTCACACTCATCCACACCTCTGCCCCCTGGATGTCCATCTTCTTCTTCACCCACTCCTCCCTCACCCCACCAACTCCTCCCTGATCTTCTCATCTCTCTCATAATATTCAATTAAGAATTAAATGCCTTTTCATTTTACCAATACTCAATACCTTGGAAGCCTTGATCACCCTTTTGTCTGTTATTCCTTTTAGTTTCATATCTTTTTTTTCAGTGTTTCATCTTCTTTAAATCATGTTTACCACACACAACATATAGGGTACTATAGTACTCTCAAGGATCTTCTTGTATTTAAAACTTTACAAAAACTTTTCACCCTTTCTTTTACCAGTTGTCTCTAGTATGTCTTCATATTTTTTTTTATCAATGTATTCTTCCCTAATTTCATCATTTATATTACTTATACTGTACACAGAATAACTTTCCAATCACATTTATACAAAAGAAAGTATTAAGAAAATTCGAAAGAAATAAAAATATTCTGAAGTACAATTTAATGAAAAGTAAGTATGTAATGTTGGAAGTAACACTTACATGTGCGCACTTTTCACTTTCTTTTTGGTGGGCGGTGATGTGACGGAATTGACATTAGTAACAGCAGGCTCAGGCACTACTGTAGCATGATTAAGTGAAAACGCCACTGATGACAGTGAATTGTTGGTTTTTCGTCCACTGTAAACCTGCAGAAAGTATATTCATAAGAACTAACATTTAAGTATGTACAGTATTGTAATTCACAAATATATTTATGTAATAATAGCTGGCTAAAACAGTTGAGTTATTGTAAAACTGGGAGAGAATAATCATAGAGGATGATAACTGCAAGAGAGACAAACACAACGAGCAACATGATAAATGAAGAACAAAAACAATTAGTGTAGTACCTCTGATATAAAGCAATGAAGGAGTGAAGGGGTGGACATGTTTAGTGGCAGAATATATTACAGTACTGTACTTAGTTAGACACTATTGTGGTGCATAGCAAGTCATCATCTAACCTATTGGTTCTCAACCTATGGGTAAATATCCACAGGTGGGTAGTTTGGCTGTTTTCTTTGGGTAATGGAAGGTTCAGTATAAATGACAGATTTTTCCAACCAGTTAATTTTCATAAGGAAAAAAAATAAAAGGTGTCTGACAGTATGTAAAAATTTCTGTAGACCATAATACAAACTATATTCCCTGGCCATTTTATATCCCAAGTATAAACTGACCTAGGCCAGATACCACCCGAGGATAAATCTGTCCCAGGCTGTTTTACACGCCCCCCGGCCAGGACACACCCTCACTGGTGCCACCTATTGACAGTTTATTTCAAAGGCTTTTAACAATATTACTTTTTCTTTATTATAATTATTATTATTATTATTATTATTGTCACTGATTATCATTATTTCTTAGTTATATAATTTATCATTACTACAGTATTATTATTACTATTATTATTAATATTATTAGTAGTAGTACTTCCTAATTTCCCTTATACGTGGTTATTCATATGGAAATAAATTCATATCCCCCTCAATGAGGCACTTGTGTTAATAACCTAACTATCCTAACCCCAGGGTGCCAACAGTTCAGTTGATCCCACACTGGAAGGAATCTACTGAACTTTAGGAACCTCAGGTGGGATCAACTGAACTTTAAGTTGTCTTGTGTTATGTTAGTATGGGTTGGACAAGATCTTGGTTAGGGTATTAATTCAATTCACTCCATGACACCACATTGAGGGGGATACAAATGTACAGTCAACAATAAAATTTTCTGCACCTTTACAGTGTTATATGACACACCAAGCCAAGAATTCTGAACAACACCAATGAGTTATGGTGTATGGTGGTAGCATTGCCTTCTAGAGTTGCCAGTTACTCCATATCTTGCATTTACTATATAAGGTGTTTAAGTGTGTCTGTGTACACAATGTGCTTCAAGATATAAATAGAGCAGCCTTACCAAATGAACATGGTCTCAGTTGGTGATCATTGTGAAGGTCGTTAGGTCCAGGGGTGCAGACAATAATACTGTGCTCACTATGCTCATTTATGATTATCCTATACTGTACTTCTATAACACAAAACAGTCCCTCAAAAAATAGATCAAACACAAGACAAAGTTACTCACTGACTTACCATCACAGCTTTACAGAAAAATAAAGCATTAAAAACTTCCACATCCAAACAATATCCAATATGGCATACAACTGCTCCACCAAGTCACCACTCACAATATAAAGCACCAAACACGGAAACTAAATGAATGTTATAAGAACTAAAAAAGGCAAAATATTGTGGATGGCACTTCTTCTCCAGACTGATCCACAACCATAATTGACAAGAGTTCTAACTATGAGCAAGAGCTCTGTGCAGGCTTATGAGCAACAGAGAACTGAAGAGAACATATCAAGGAATATCCAGTAAGGAAATATAACTCTGAAGATTAGTGTGATGCCAATTGAGCCTGTTTTAGTTACTTGCTCCAAGACAAGGTGGCACCACTGTCACCAGCTGTCATCTGCTATGTTTACATCTTTGAATCTTCAGAATAATATTTCTGCTCTTGTTTTTTTTTTTTCAAAGTGGAATGCAGTTTTGTGAAATAGTAAAATAAATAAATTCATAAATGCTAAAATAAATTTTCATAAGATCATTTCATGTAGTTAAAATGTTATTATATTTTCAAACAAAATAATATGATAACAGATTATCGCTCAGGGATATTCAGGAATAATTTACGGATTTAAAATTGGACGTCAAAGTCAATAGCTATATGTGCATATAATATGTATTATGCTGAAATAAGGATTGACTGAAAAATATGAATTGAAATAACATTCATATTCGTCAAGTTTATATCATCTTTTTACTGATTATGCAAACCAATATTTTCCATATCAGTCATGTTTGTTACACACTGTTAGCAAGTACTGGTTCCTGAATGTATTTATACCTGCTCCAGTGTTAGTCAAGTCTGGTCTTGTATGAGCTCACACTCGGTGCCATCACAACACTCTGATAAATTGTTCCAAGAGTTCACAACTCATTCCCAGAAAGTTTGCCCTGATAGTTTTCTGAGCTTGTGGCTTCTTCAGCCTAAAGTTGTGATCCCTAGTATTTATAATAAAATTAATTACTATTTATACTCTGAAAGTACTGTACTGTACTATACTTTTTTAGCATCAAGGAATAAAATGTGAAACATTAGATATTTCCATTTAATGACCAGTTATTACTTGTAATGTAAGTTTCATAAGGCACTTATCAATATATTCATTAGTAATGTTTTATAAAGTTCATTTGGTCCAAGTAAACTATTTTATACTGTTTTTGTTTTTTCTACAATGTTCATGACTACCTTTACCTTGAGGCTCAAAAAAATAGTGGGTCAATAAACAGTAATAGTTTGCCTCCTTTTATAGATGTTTTCCGTGGAAAGTCAGTCGCTCTGTCATCAGGTGACACCACAGTCTCGCTGTGGCAACTTATTACAAATAATGGTTTTAAGGGAGAGTTATACTTCCTTATTGGATATTCTTTGGGGTATATGTTTGAAGTTCATAAGTATGGCTGAAATGGGTTCTGAAAGTGGGTATTTCTATCCCAAGGTTTCAAACCAATGTTTCTAAAGCTTTACTGGCCCTCAGGGGAAAAATGAGCTAGGTATTCAGAGCAGTGATTTTAAACTATTTCAGGTGAGCAAAGAATTGCTCTGCAGCAAGCTGGATAATGAGATGTTCCACTATGCCTTTTTTTTTTTACGGGAATTAGCCCACCCGGGCACAGGTCAAACGACCCTACGGGCCTGGGGTGCAAAAAAAAAGAACGGAAAGAAATTGTAAATATAGAAAAAAAAGGTTATACTGTATTAATCTACACCACGAAGATGCCAGAAAACCAGTTTTTTAAAGTGAGACAGATTGTAAGAGCATGGACACACAGGTGTCAAACGACTCTGGGCAATAGCAGGTTCTGCCTAATTAGATAATAGAAATGATGAGAAAGCAACTGAAACACTCCTGGATTTGGTGTTTCATCAATGCAACCAAATAGAACATTTTAAAATTAACTCTTTTTATACAAAAGTTGTTTTCTTCCTCCCTCCTTGCTTCTCACAAAAAAGGCTTTTCAGTTATTACTGAATATCACTCTCACTACCTCTAAGAATATTTAATTTCAAACTAAAAGCTTTTTCTATGACCTGCTTTACTTACCATACATAAGCTCTTCATGTCTTCAGCCAAGTGTCCTTTTTTCATAGATTTATTGCTATAATGAGACTAACCTGTGGCTTGGTACTCTCTTCAACCTCATCATCCGTGACTTCTTCTCTTGTAATCTGTTTGTGTGACCCGGGTTTCCTTCCTGGCTTTCTCCCACGGCCCGGCTTTCTTCCTCGCCCACTTTTAACTTTTTCCTCAGGTTCTTCTGTACTATTCTTTCTTGGTCGACCCATTCTAACTTTTCTCACTGGTTCCTCCCAAGAGTCCTCGTTATGATCTGATGGATCAGTAATCTCAATCACTTCAACTTTTGTTTCCACTTTCTCTTTTTCTCTACATTTAATATCATGACCTTCACTTCTCTTTCTCTCTCGTGGCGACTTGTTAATTTTTGGCGGTGATGATTTTTCCTGTATCACTTCTTCCTTCAGAACTTCACGCACATTTTTCCTGTACACACACACAAAAAAGATTTGAATGACAACATGCAACATTTAGCTTTCTTCATAATTTTTTTTTAATTCACAAAGCATGATGGAATAATATGATACACTATAAATGGTACCCGGGATATGAATATAAGTAGTTTCTCCATGAATGTTTAGTATATTAATGAAAACAATATGTTACTATTCTTAATAATTACTCATCTTTATCAATTCATGGATGATAATATATCCCAAGTTATCAACTCCTATTTGTACTGTATTTTCCTTTGAAAGAGCTGACTAGCTATATCCATTATCTCTTCTTAATGAATGACTTCCTGTGAAGGGGGATTCTGTCATGTTAATGGTACAACCACCCTTGCAAGAATAAGAAGAAAAACTTTTACAGTTAGTAAACCAACTTTTCAGTTTTTTCAGCTGCCAAAGATTCCTCCTCTTTCTTCTTCTTCCTTTTCTCTTCTTCCAACTGTCTTCTTTTTTCCTGCTCAACAATTTCTATCGCCATCTTCTTCTCCTCCTCCTCTCTTTTCTCTTTTAACTTTTGTACCCGCCCAGATGATCTTCTTGGAGCAAACTCCATCATGCGCTTCCTTTGAATCTGTTGACATAAAAGCCATTAAATGAAACACAAAACGAGAAGGATACCAGCACTATAACAACAAGGATTAGCTACTAATATTGGTTTATGGCTGTATGCAACATACTCCCGAGGGTCTGTATCACTCGGATAGAGTATGACTGTGGCAACACAGAAAATATTGAGACAAATGTAACACCCTACAGTACTTACATATGGGTGTACCAGCTATATCACTGAACCCATCTTAAACTGCAACTACTAATCATATAATGACATTAGATCCAAATCAGGCCAGATTTAGTCACGTTAACAGGAAACTAATGTTAATGAATAAATACAGTGGTTCCGAAAAGATGAAGACAGAATGGACCTTTGTCAAACATTATTAAAGAGTCAAAATCACCTTCTCCTTCTCCTGGAACAGCCGTGGGATCTCTGGGAGGAAGTCTTCTCGAAGTGTCTGTAACAAACTACGCTCCAGCTTGGATGCACAGTCCTCAAACTTTTCTGCAAGAATGTTCCAGTCCTCCTCAGAGAAACACTGAACCTGTAAATAAAAATAAAATGAAACGTTCCTGCACTTTGTTAAGATTAAATATTCAACCATATAATTATCAACTTAACTGGTACTGTCTACAAATTTGGGTACAGTACAGCATTCCTAATGTCCATGCACAAGTGTACCACATTTGCTAATTTTCAATTTTTACCATACATATTACATCTAAATAATTTAAATACCCTTAATTAACAATGGTAATTTAAGATGTTTATTTTGAGGGTTATTCAGCATTAACTGATCTATCAAGGTCTCCTATGTCTCACACCCTCAGGAACACCTTGTAAAGCCAGTATGAAGAAGCACTGCATACAGATCTACTTCATAAAATAAGCTATATGACTGGCAACAATTCCCTCACACTGTACACCCCCCCACCCTACCTTTGCCTGGATGCTGGCCACCTTCCAATGACTAGTCCCCTTTACCTCATCCTGAGTCATGCTTCTTTTGTTATCCTGTCATCTAACATCCGACATGTTAACAAGAAAGAATAAAATATCAATCAGATCTTCCTCAATCCATTAATGTGTCTCCAGTGTTTCATTATCATATATACCTGAAAATATTACCCTAATTACAGTGATCTTTCCTGTGTCTCTGAGATGGCTGCCTGGACTGTAAACTATGGCATCTAAAATTGGGAATATCTAACATTGTAATCTCAACTAAATGAACCAGGAAGTATTGTTGTATTTGTCACACTTATTATCTAAATGAGATATAAACAATTTGAACAACATTTTATAGTTTCAAGCCAAAGGAGTTTTCATTGATAATAATCATTAAATATTGAAATGGGTGAGAAAGTGTTAATATATGGTAGATGGTGGAATGCTTGAGAGTGAGTACCTGTAAAGTATATGCACACATGTAGAGAGGAAAGACAAAATAAAATTCCTACTTCTTACATGAGAGAGGAAGTCATTAAAGTATATGCCTGATATTCAGTCATAAAGTTTTACCTGCCAAACAGGTTTTGGTGTGTCTGCTTCCTCATCAGTGTCATCATTTTTGTGGCCTTTTTTCTTCCGTTTCTTTTTTCTTTTATCTTCTTTTTCTTTGTCTTTATCCTTTGGTTTCCGTCTGTGTGGGTGATAGAGTGAGTGGTCTTCCCTATAGAGTCGGGTGCCGTAAAAATACCAGTAAGTGGAGCCAGTGTCATCGTACCCAAGAGGCTCCACCCGTAAACTGTCGGATTCTAAATTCTGCAAGATGGAAAAAAACAAATTTTAAAGTTCAGATTAACATAACCCTATAATTGTTTGTGGCAATATACAAACACAGACAACTCTAGCAGAAGGTAACTGTAAACTGCATGTGTGGTGTTGGGCAGTGTGAAGCAACAGGATACACCAAATAGACATCCAAGGGCCTTATTGTGGTAAAGCAACAATACAACAGAACACATCCTTTATTGCAGTTACAGAATCATGAATGAGAGCCATCCTGTTCCAGTAGTGGGAAAGGTTTGGATGGACAAAAAGTTGCTCACTCTACCAGATATATATTATATCACAGACACTAATTTGAGGATCTTCCTATCTGTACATTATGTTCTCAAGAGACTTATAAATGTCAAGTAAAGGGCATAAGTAATCATATGAACTTTAACCTGTATATGTTGAGGAAAGTTACCCAAGGATACAGCAATCCAACCAGAGAATTTATATCGAGTACAGTATAATATCCATGTCAACATTAACCCTACAATTGATGAAAAGTTTCTAAACAAATAATAATCCCTTACTTTGTATACTGTAATGGAGACTTGAGACTTTCCCTTTTGTATAGCTAATAAAAGATGTGTCCTCAAAATTCCAATCTTTGTTTAAAGCCAAAAATTTTATAATTGGCCAAGAGAAACACTTAAATTTTCTCTTCTCATTGGAATGCTTTTAAGATAATTATATGAGTATTTTTCCCTCTTTTCATATAAAGTAACTTCTCCTTTTTGTACAAAATATAATTACATATATTTTTTTTGTATAATGACACAGAATTACTTACTTTTAAGAGATCAAGAACATCTTCAGCTTCTAATCTGAAGTCACAGAGGGCATGAAGGATTTCTACTTTTCGTCGTAAGGGGAGCCATCTCATATCCCCCTCCACAAATAAATTTTCTCTGGTAGGATCCTCCTGGAATATAAGTAAATTTATATCAATATTATTGCTGGGAGGTACAGTATTGTTTTATGAGGCAGTCAAAGTTAGGCAAACTAGACAGTACAATATATATGGGATGAACACAAGTTACGGCAGACATGACTCATGAGGCGACGTATTCTAAACACCAAGATGTTTGTACCTCAGTTCAAGCTAAGCCAGTACTGTATCCTGGTTTATGTCTAAAGTGGTATCCAGTTTTTGTAAACTAATAGACAGTTGGTTTTGTAATTAGATAAAGACATGTAGATGGATGTAAATAATTCTAACTTTTTAAGTTTTCCCACTGATAGCACTGAGATCAGGTCAGTTTTTAATAAAGCTGAGCAATGGACAAATAAACACAGTGACAGTATCTTGGTACTGTAAAAAGAATAAAGTGGAAAAATATATGCTGTACTGTATTACCAATTTCACTAAATCTTATTTATAACCATCTTATACTATTCCTTCTTACACATCTGTCATCTTTCACAGTACGATGTCTTTATAGCATACCAGATGATTTAACCTGATAGTAATTCTTTAATTCATTCTGATATGTGTCACTTATTACAGTACTCTACAGGGCCGGATTCAGGAGTGGGCAAAGTGGGCAGTTGCCCAGGGGCCTCCACAATCTGGGGGCCTCCATATATGCAGTAGTAGCTATATCAGGGCTGATCGACTTGAAACCACATGAATGACTCCAGTCATGTCTTACTTTTGTGTGTGTGTGTGTATTGGGAATTTGTACACTATCAATAAATATACAGTTAATTAAAAATTTCTCAATGTTCTAATTTCCTCAATATAACTGCATATGGCTTCACTCGCCACCCCACCCTCTTGGGTAGTTATAATGAGGGGGCCTCCACAAAGAGGCTGCCCATGGGCCTCCACAGGTCTAAATCTGGCACTGGTACTCTAACATACTTTAAGTCTTTTTTAACAACTTAAAGCTTTAGTACTTACAATGTAGTCTCTTGTATTCCTTCCAGTACAGTATTCCATTGAGATATAAACATTTTGAAAGTTTATTGTCTACTCTACTTCCTACAGTCAACTGGCATCTGGCCTGGGCCTGGAGTTTAATTCTACATTGGTTCTTTCACTGATCTCTTCTTTTTGTTTTATTAAGAGATTGACTTGTTACTGTGATGATTACTCTGACTACTGTACATATCTCTTACGGAAGATGGAATGTGTCCATTACTTACCTGACATCTGTGTTTGAAGAGCTTCCTCAAGTAACTCTGATAATTGGTGGCATTGACTGTTTTGCCCGGGAGACAGCCCTGCACCAGGCGTACTGTCAGCTCCACCAGCAGTGGGCTCCCTGTGTCATCCAACCCATCGGTCAGTAGTGCTTCCTCTAACTCCTGCAACACAACATTAATATTAATACCTGTACCATACAAGTACAGCACCTACAGTACAGTAATCTCAAAGTGCAAATACTGTACATTTCAATATTATGGGATTTCTTGCAAAGACTATGTAAATCAAGATAAAATAAAATGCAAAATTTATATAAAAACAGAGTACAGCTACTGCACTGTACAGTCGTGCAATTTATCTGAAGAAGGTAAATTAAAAATATAACAAATAATGTACAGAGACTAAAGTCATCACATTCAAAAACTAAAAAGTTACAACCTTCCTGCTAAGAATACATGGGAAAAGGCTCACACTTTGTCAATGTATTGTACAAGGTTGTTGGGAAAACTAAGATATTAAACAGATCACCAAAAATAGTTAACATGGTTCGACAATCGGCACAAATCCAACATATAAAGTGCAAATTAAACTGCCAGGTTAAACATACAATGTAAGTGCCGCTAATGACACCCTTTATAGTATACAGTTTGTAGCAGCTGTAGAGATATTAAGGCTTTTATGTATATACTGTAGTGATCAACACCATTTGGGTAAATACTGTACAGGAGTTAGCAATGTAGATGGTTGAGATAGATAGATAGATAGAATGAAAGGTAGATAGATAAATAAATAGATATAAATAGATAGGTAGACAAGAAAAGATAGATAGAAGGAAGGAAGGAAGGAAGGAAGGAAGGAAGGAAGGAAGGAAGGAAGGAAAGATAGATAGATAGAATGAAAGGTAGATATGTAGATAATTAGATAATTAGAAGAAAAGGTGGACAGATAGACAGCTAGAAAGAAAGGGTCGTGGGGGGAGTAGGTACAGTAGCCAAGGCCACCTCCCTCAACCCCTGTACTGTAGGGCCGCTACTGTGTGGGGTGGAGCAGGGAGGGGGGAGAGAGAGCGCTGGTGGCTGGTGCTGCAGTAGTGTAAGACAGGTCTGGCTGCTACTGTGTGGGGTGGAGCAGGGAGGGGGGAGAGAGAGCGCTGGTGGCTGGTGCTGCAGTAGTGTAAGACAGGTCTGGCTGCCCACCTCGATATCGAAGTCAAGAAGATCGAACGCGGCCCTGAAGAGTGAGCAGAAGTGGGCAATACTCGGTAGCTCCCACCATGACTGGATATCTGCAAGGAATAAATATTTTGTTAGATTATGACACCAACAAATATCTGTAATAAATCACTACAAAAATATAATACTCAGGAAGACATTTAAAAGTAGCGGCTGTTGTATCTGGCTTGACTTCCTAAACATGAACATTGATACACTCATATAGACGCACTTATCTATCGTAGCGTTTGTCTTTTATACCAGAAAGTGTGCTCAGCTGAAAACTTCCAATGCCCAGCAATTAATTTTAAAATATTTAATGATACAATACATAAACAGAAACATTCTCGTAGATATAACACTTCAGAGCCTCCTGGTCGTGTCATAGACAACCAAAATAAGAAACATCAAAGGATATGAAGGAAAATGTTCAGACAATATAAATGGGGTCTTTGTCTTGGTATGCGTTTCCTTCCTCAGCACCGGCCGTGTCTGGGTGGCGGCGACGGCCATCCTGGGAGGATCTGTGGTCGGGGGGGAGGGAGGGCATATAACTTGTGACGTCACTAAAACTGCTCCCCCTCCCACATGACGTCACGGATCTTAACCCTTGTTCTTGGCTCCTCGCCATCTACAACTCTTCGTATTTACGTAAGCTACTGACCTCGCCTCTAGAATTATTTTTCTGGACACTTTATTTCTATCATCATTTGTTTTGCTGTGTTTTTCTATATAATCTACACACAACATTAAAAAGTAATATATCACAGTCAGGTGGTTGACAGGACGGGGAGAAGCTAATAGTCAAACTTAACACACGACTGATCGACTCCCAGACCCGACGAGCCAAAAATTTTTATCAGTGCAAGATCCGAGTTTTCCATGTCTGGCCATTTTTGAGAAGCAGTTGTTATACAGAAGCCTTAAACAGCACGTAACGACACAATTAATTCACATTTTAGGACTCATTGTAGTTGATGTGTGGTTTGGTGAACATAACCACAGTAAATTACCACTAAAGCACTGGGCAGATCAAGAGATACGGCCCACCACGACACAGCCTGGCGTAGCGTTGGTGCGGCCAAAAATCAGTATCAAGTCATTTCTCAAACTCCAAATTGAACCCTATACATATAAACATTATTTAGGCGGGTTAAGGAGATAACACGTCACGTTTAAACCCCTAGAATAATTCTTTTAAGGGCTACACTATACGTCACGTCACGCTTGATGATATAGAACCTTTCGTTGGATTATTATTCTGCCAAGGAGATGGAACAACCTACTACTACCTGCATCCTAAAACAAATAAATAAACACAAATACGAATACTTTCACTGAACATTAGTGTCATGTTCTCACCCAGTGTCAACAACAATCTCTCTCTCTCTCTCTCAAGTTACCGTGGCGAGGAATAGTCATAGTGTTGTGTTGTCTTTGGTTATATTCGACAACATCCAAGCAAGCAGTAGGCTCAGACACACAGAGGACAGTGAGGCCAACACGTACACAATATTTCTGGATCTTGCCCCCTGAGCCGCCACCCTCGTAAACAGCTTCACTAGCATTATGTACTCCCATAAGTCTCATAACACCATTTTTCTTCTTCTAGAGTTTCTTAAATTGTCAGTAAGCAATGATGAACTTGGCGAACTTTAACCCCCTGAGCCTAATATATTCCAACCTGACCTGATCTGACCTAACCTAACCTCACGTTAACTTTAACTTAAAATAGTCTCAGTGTTATTTGTGTACCATTATGCATATTTTGGTGATTCAAAACATCCCTTAAGACACATTAAAACACGTAACATACTCACCAAAATACTGCAGGGGAAAAATAATAAATAAGTCTAAAGTTGAAAGTAAAAAGTAATTTCAATATATTTCTTGCAGACACAAGTTTTTTTCCCAGGAATTCTATTTACTGCAACATAATGCCACAAAAACCTGCTTTAAAGATATATGAAATATAATTACAATTTTTCTTCCCAAAATGCAACTTTAATGCAGGCGTTAAATTTCAGTGATGAAATCTTGTTGCTGTCAGGCCAACACTGAGGCGTTTAACGAAAACAATTCTGAGCTCAATGACGGCGAGCATTAACACCAGCCACGGCGAGTATCCTTACAGGGTCAGGGGGTGAAGGAGAGGCAGGCACACCAGCCTCCCCGCGGGGAATAATACATATGTATGTACAAGGTCTTGATGACTTACACTGTGGCAGCAGTTTACTTTACTATTTATCACCATTAACTACCGCGTCTCCCGAGCACAGTCACGTATGTTTATTAAGATCACATGAAGGTTAGACCATCAACTTGTGTCAGCAATTGATTAAACAACTTAACATTGTCTGGGTTAGGTGAAATAAGCTGGGTGTCTAATCTTCAGGTGGTCATATAACTAATATCTATCCATATGACCGCTGGAGACTGACGGTGCCATAAGAGAGGCCAGTCTTTACCCCGTTGACCTTGACAAAATCGTGGGCCAGGGCAGGTAGTACGAGACGAGTCGGGGCCGCTGGCAGGAAGATGTACACTACGTTCATTAGTATGTCGGGCAGGTAAGACAATGACCAAGCAACCAAAACCTTCCCCTTGTACACCCAGCAGATCAGAGACGTAACCTAACCTAACCAAGATGATCCCAAACCACTTCAGTGATCTCAAGACAAGTGTTGTGAGTTGTATCGGTAATCGTTAATACAATATAATGCAGTTAGTCACACTACAGTGAACACGAGCACTGAGGAGGTAGTGAGTGACCTGTAGATGAGTCAGCAAGTATGACCCACACACGGCAAGGGTCACGGTCACCTGTTGGGAGGCGACCTTCACAAACAATTACCTGTATACTGATTTCATTCTCATTATAAACAAAATAAAATAGTAATGAAAATTATCAAAACACCTTCGAGAACATCTGGTACAGGCATAGGTAAATTATCATCCTCAACAGCTTCTCCACACACACACACACACACACACACACACACACACACACACACACACACACACACAGACACACACACACACACACACACACACACACACACACACACACACACACACACACCTAATATAGTAATGATGACTGTGTACCAAATGTTTACAAAGCCCATTGATGTTTGTGTTTACAGCACCCCTCCCCGCCCAGGCAGTAACCTCGGTACATCACACCATCATCCTTGTGGACGTGTTTGTGTTCTCCATTACTGCCTCTAAACACCCCGGGCGGAGCTGTCAAGTGGTATAGAATGCGGCCCTCTCAACATCCACACCCCTGTCAGCTGGGTCCTGTCATCTAAGACACCAGCTTGAAGGTATTATTATTCTCGCCGCGTGCACCTGGCTGGAACCACACACACACACACCTGGCCCTCACCTTCCTACACACACACACCTGGCCCTCACCTTCCTACACACACACACACACACTCCTGGCCCCTGCCTTCCCACACACACACACCTGGCCCCCACCTTCCCACACACACACACACACCTGGCCCCCACCTTCCCACACACACACACACACACCCGGCCCTCACCTTCCCACACACACACACACACTTGGCTCCCTGCCTCCTCCCACACACACACACACCTGGCCTCACCTTCCCCACACACACACACACACACCTGGCCCCACCTCCACACACACACCTGGCCCCACCCTCCACACACACACACACACTTGGCCTCGCCTTCCACACACACACACACACCTGGCCCTCACCTTCCTACACACACACACACCTGGCCCTCACCTCCCCACACACACACACCTGGCCCTCACCTTCCTACACACACCTCCCCCCTCTACCCACAAACTCACCATCACTAAGTTTGTAAACACAACCACATTAAATAATATTATAATACTCCTTCACACACACCTGGGCCATCACTATCTCTCCCTCACACATATATACGACACATAATTTACATAAACAACCACACGAACAAAACAATTGGATGACAGAACCATAGTCGATGTGTTAGGAGGCAACTTACCTCATGTTTGTAAACACCGCTTCACAATGAATGACTTTAATAAAGGCAGTCAAGTCACCCTCGACACTACACACACACACACACACACTCTTTCAAGTAAACACACAACAAGACAGGCCTTTAATGTGTGTGTGTGTGTGTGTGTGTGTGTGTGAGAGAGAGAGAGAGAGAGAGAGAGAGAGAGAGAGAGAGAGAGAGAGAGAGAGAGAGAGAGAGAGAGAGATTAGTAAACACAACCACAAGATAACAAACATTAAAGAGAGTACTACACCATCACACACTCTAACTTAACCCCCCATCCCCCCACGCCACTCTGTAAACATAACCCCATATTTACAAAACACCTCGATACAATGAATGACCTTTTAGAACAGATAACCACAACACAAAATATACACAAACTCTAAGATGCCTGTTTATAGCCTCTCTTATCTGACCATTTATCAACGTGAGTTCTGCTACATCACCAGTCAATGGGTTTTATTACCAAGACCAAGCAAGTGACTTTTATCACTTATGGGTATCAAAATATTAAGACTTTCGTAGCCTTGTGTGTGTGTCTGTCTGCTTACACCACTGTCTCTATATTATCCATATACTAAGGCATACTGAGAGAGAGAGAGAGAGAGAGAGAGAGAGAGAGAGAGAGAGAGAGAGAGAGAGAGAGAGAGAGAGAGAGAGAGAGAGAGAGAGAGAGAGCTTTAAAGGCTAATAAAGCACATTCGTATGCAAGCTGTGTCGTATGTGCGTAAGAGTGAGGAACAGGCAGGCAGGGGTTAGCCACTTACAACACACACACACACTGTTCTCCTTTACCTCAGTAGTGTGGTGGCCTTTGATCTCCACTATATCGCTGCCCCACCATCCTGTTATTGTCAGTTCCTTTAACATTACGGGGAAACACACACGTCCTCTCGCTTGCCCCTTCCTCTACGTGGCCTTGAGAACAGCTTCATCTACGTGGCCTTGAGAACCCCTTCATCTACGTGGCCTTGAGAACCCCTTCATCTACGTGGCCTTGAGAACCCCTTCCTCTACGTGGCCTTGAAAACCC